TTTTATAGACGACTTATGGAAGGAGTAGGATTAACAGATCAGGGTTTTTTTTTGAGTGGGAAGGGAGGCCCATGGCTAGATTTCTGAGGCCTTATTTCCTGAAGATAAGTGACCAGGCCTATAAACATTCCTGAACTTATATATAATAGAAAAATTATAGCTTTCTTGTTCTGGTAGAAGACTGGCTATAACTGAACACTTTCATGTGCCATAGGAAATCTAATAATGACATTTACACTTTCTGAAAGATATTTACATAACCAAGAAAAATTAGGCCTGAACTAAAATCATATGAACAAATTGAAATACCAAGCGAAATAAGAGATGGGGGGGGGAGGTGTGTTTGGGTGTGTGTGTGTGAAAAATGACATAGAAGGAATAAATAGTGATGGAAAAAAAGAAGTAAAATTGCCCTGGTCGGTGTCACAGAGTGGTTAGAGGACGTACCTGAATTGCAGGTTGGATCCCCGGCCTAGGTCGGGGAACGTGTGGGAGGTAACCTATTGATCTCTCTCACATTGATGTTTCTCCCTCTCTCCTTCCCGCTTTCTAAAAGTCAATAGAAAAAATATCCTTGGGTGAGGATTAACAAAATAAAAGAAAAATGAAAAAAAATTTTAAAAATAAACTATTGATTTTTTTTAGAGAGAAAGGGAAAAGGATAGAGAGTTAGAAACATCTATCAGCTGTCTCCTGCACACCTCTTAATGGGGATGTGCCCGCAACCAAGGTACATGCCCTTGGCTGGAATAAAACCTGGGACCTTTCAGTCCGGGTTGGAGTGTATTCTGATGTTGGCTCCCATGTCCCAGGGCGAACAATTCCCAGCCAAGTGAAACCGTGCTTTCTAATCAGAACAAAACCCTCATGGTTAACAAGGCATTTTTTAATATGTCTTATAGTTTCCAATATTCTATTTCTGCCCCTAACATTGTCACACCAGAAAGAGGCCAATTTTTGCCCCAAACCTGTTAGGGCAAAATGAAAAAATATATATTTTTATTGATTTTCAGAGAGGAAGGGAGAGGGAGAGAGAGAAACATCAATAAAAAAGAATCTTTGATCGGCTACTCGAGCCTACAACTCAGGCATATGCCCTTGACCAGAATCGAACCTAGGACCCCTCAGTCCACAGGCTCATGCTCTATCCACTGAGCCAAACCGGCTAGGGCAAAATTTAAAAAATCATATCCGAATTATTACTTTAAAAATTATCCTCTTGACCCTGCAGGGTGGCTTAGTTGGTTGGAGTGTCATCAGACAGCAAAAAAGTTGCAGGTTCAAACCCCAGTCAGTGCGTATGGGAGGCAACTAATAGATGTTTCTTTCTCTCTTCCTCTACCTCTAAAATCAATAAATATGTACTTGGGTGAGGATTAAGAAAAATTGGCCTCTTTCTGGTGTGACAATGTTAGGGGCAGAAATAGAATATTGGAAACTATAAGACATATTAAAAAATGCCTTGTTAACCATGAGGGTTTTGTTCTGATTAGAAAGCACGGTTTCACTTGGCTGGGAATTGTTCGCCCTGGGACATGGGAGCCAACATCAGAATACACTCCAACCTCCTGTCCCAAGAACTGCCTATTGTGATGGGAGGATTTATAACCTGGAGGCTGAGACAATCTGGTCCTGCAGGCACCTCCTTTACAACCCAGCCCCTATTACCTATAATCTGGTCCTGGGGCGCCCCTCCCCCACACCCCCAAGCCTGCTTGACTTGTAACCTATGATGATAATCCTGGGCCCAGGTTCCTATGTAATCTTTGTTCTTCTACCCAATATCAGCAGCTGGCTTATGGTGGCGGGCAGAGCTGATTTCTGTGGATCACCTGCTACTCTCCCATACTGCTGGCAGTACTGGAATAAAGACTCATAAGATTCTTTATGAGTCTCTGCTTAATTGCCTGAAGTAGTGACAGGTAGCCCAGACTCCCTGATTGTCCGGTTACAATAGCAAATACTCGTAACATTTTCCTCACAATTTTTCTTTCTACTAAGTAGCTGCAAAAGTACTACTTTTGTACTAAAGTGGCTACATTGGATCATACTTTTATTCTAAAATCCACCCCCCACTTTTTAAAACACACTTATTATTATTTTATACCGGAGGCCTGATGAACGAAATTCCTGCAAGGGGATCTGAGGGCCGGGGCTGCTCTTTGTCTGCCAGTCCAGTCTAATTAGCATATTATGCTTTTATTATTATAGATGTGTGTGTGTGTATAGAGTTGATTTCAGAGAGAAAGAGAGATGGATAGAAACATCAATGATGAATCACTGATTGGGTGCTTCCTGCACACCCCTACAGAGGATTGAGTCCACAACCCAGGCATGTGCCCTTGACTGGAACAGAACCTGAGATCCTTCAAGTCCACATGCTGGTGCACTCTATCCACTCAGCCTAAAGTCCTTCCTTTTTTTAAAATTTTTTAAATTCTATTTTGAAGAGTACATTGGGGATTAGAAATAATTTAGGTCAACAGGAATTAGCCATTCTCTAAATGTGAAATTCCTCCCCTAACTGTTATGCTGCTCTAGACCAGAGTGCCCAAACTTTCCAAATCTGAAAGGTAAAGTTACACATTTGCATTCCTGCCACACAAAATCAATAAAAGACACCAATTTGCCAAGGCAGGGACGGGAAGCAATTCTTTTGTCTGACCCAACGATTTTCAATGTGGAAGTATTTTTAGGTTTTTAAGCAATGTTGGAATTTTGGTTCAGCAGATGATTTACTTCCTCTATGTCCACAACCCAAAGAGAGCTGCAACCAACCAATCACCTGACAGAATTAATGGATAATCTTTTTTTGCTTTTTCTCTTTTGAGCCAAGAGCTTTCTATTCCATAATTTATGTGGAAGCTGTTCCAAGCTATTACTGCAAGGAAGTCTGTGACACAGAAGACACTTTGATAATATCAAGTATTCAGCCTTTTCTTTTTTTTTTTTTTAAACACGGATAATGCCTTAAATTAGAATAATTGCATTCGTATATTCAGAACTGCTCCTAACACAGGAAATGCTATGCTTACTTTGAGTAAGAAAACGGAATGGTGGGGACTCAGCTTCCATGCCCACCCACTGAGGTAGAAGTGGCTCCTCTCGCTGGCCCACCAATTTGCTACCAAACAGTGTGTGTGACTTTGGTGTCTTCATTTATTCAAAAGAAGCTGGAATTCCAGATTTTTGTGAAGTCTTCGTTTTTTAAAATATTAATTTGTTATTTAAAAACTTTCTGGCTGAGAGCCACCTTTGAGCGCCCAATTAAAATTTAGAATTCTTTTGTCTGACCCAACGATTTTCAATGTGGAAGTATTTTTAGGTTTTTAAGCTTTTTCTATGCCAAGGCAACATTTCATGGACATACTCTACCTGGAAACTGTATGTGTGTAAACATATCATAAATGGTGTAAGAAGTTGTGAGAGCTCTTATGAATAAAATTCCAAATGCAATCTATTTCAATATAGAAAAGCCTCTCACTCTAGATATGGTAGGAAAACTTGGACTTTATAATCATGTGAGACTTCTCACATTTCTTTCTTGTGAAACTTGAACAAAAGTATGAAAAATTCCTAATAAACAGAATTGCTCAGTTAATCAAGTGTCTCAGACATAACAAAGCAAACAAATAAAGGTACTTTTCAGAGACAGGAGTATAGAACTTACGCAGTTTAATGAAATAATTTAAAACTGAAGTGATGAAAAATTTGGGGCTATCACTGCTTATATGACATTTTGTAAAAGGTTATCTTAATACTGTGCTCATCTATAAAGCTGAAGTGTGATTCTTATCTCACAGAGTTTTAAATGAAATAAATTATTAAGTATTCATTGCTGAGAGTATAATCATAATTCAGTGAATGTTAATTATTTTTCCATTTTAGAGGAGAATTTGATATTTGATCTTCCCCAGAATATTTTGGACCAACTCTTAGGACTTTAATTACTTTTCAAAATTGAATGGTATTTAGTTTATCTAATGTTCATTCATAACAGTATTATTTAAGGTAGGCAAAGGTGAAGCAACCAAGTATCTGCTTAGAATGAAAAAAATTGTGACACATGCTCTAAAATGGATGAACTTTGAGGACATTACACTAAATGAAATAAGCCAGTCACAAAACGACAAATACTGTATGATTTCACTTACATGAGGTACCTAAAATAGTCACTTTCATAGACAGAAAGCAAAATGGTATTTGCCAGTGACTGAAGGGAGAAATGGAGAATTGTTTAATGAGTAGTTTCTATTTTGCAAAATGAAGAAAAGTTCTAGAGATTGGTTGCACAACAATGTAAATATATTTAACTTTACTAAACTGTACACTTAAAATATGGTTCAGCCCTAACCTGTTTGGCTCAGTGGATAGTGTGTCGGCCTGCGGACTGAAGGGTCCCAGGTTTATTCCAGTCAAGGACATGTAGATTTGTTATAGGAACATCCTCAATAGGGGATGTGCAGGAGGCAGCCAGCTAATCCATGCTTCTCTCTCATCTATGTTTCTAATTCTCTATCCCTCTCCCTTACTCTCTATAAAAAAAAAAAAATAATAATCAATAAAATACATTAAAAAAAATGGTTCAGATAGTTAATCTTGTAAGTATTTTACTAAAATTAAACAAACAAAAACCAAAACAATCTCTGGTTTCTGAGAACACTAGATTATACTGGAAAAAAAATTTATGCAGTTTCCTTAAAAAACTACGCATCAAAAGCATACTTCAAGTTATTAAGAGAGCTATCTGTTAAAAATCTCCTACCTGCTGAGACCGGTTTGGCTCAATGGAGAGAGCGTCGGCTTGGGGACTGAAAGGTCCCGGGTTCGATTCCGGTCAAGGGCATGTACCTTGGTTGCGGGCATATCCCCAGTAGGGGGTGTGCAAGAGGCAGCTGATCGATGATTCTCTCTCATCGATGTTTCTAACTCTCTATCTCTCTCCCTTCCTCTCTGTACAAAATAATAAAATATATTAAAAAAAAAAAAAAATCTCCTACCTGTACATTTATACAACATGCCCGTCATAGTTCCAGCTGCTACTGTATTGAGGTCATCTTCTGCACCTCGTGTTTTCTCAATGATGACACCAAACGCACTATAAAGCAAAGCTATAGAGGAAATAGAACTGATGAGTAATATAACAGTGATTAAAAGTCAGTATAGAAATTATACTTAGGTAAATGTATCCTACAGTCATCATTCTGTAAGTATTCAAAGGTATATAGTGATCACTAGAACACTGTTTGTAATAGCAAAAGCCTAGCAACAACTAAAACACCCATCAGGAAGAGACCGATCCAGAAAGGGACTTTTCACATGATGGAATGTTATATATACTCACTGAAAACAAAAAGGAGGACCAGCTACAGTCACTAATCCAGGCATTTGACTATGACTCCGGATATGCAAAGAAGATATTTGGAAAGGTTCAGAAGAAATATTAATAGAAGCCAATTATGGAAAGTACCATCCCTAGCCAGTTTGGCTCAATGGATAGAGCATCGGTCTACAGACTGAAGGGTCTTGGGTTTGACTTCCAGTCAAGGCATATGCCTGGGTTGTGGGTTTGATCCCCTGTGGGCATGCAGGAAGCAGCCGATAGGTAATTCACTCTCATCATTGATGTTTCTATCTCTCCCTCTCCCTTCCTCTCTGAAATACACACACACACACACTTATATATATACACACACACATTGAGTAGCCAGATTATTATGGTCTTTAATCTGGCCAGAATGTGTGTGGGTGTGTATCAGAGGCCTGGTGCATAAATTCGTGCATGGGTGGGGTCTGGCCAGCCTGGCCAGGGGTATAAGACATGGGTGGTTGGCTGGCCTGCCTGCTGGTTGAACTCCTGGTATAGGGGACAATTTGCATATTAGTCTTTTATTATATAAGATATATACTGAGCGGCCAGATTATTATGCATTCAGAGATCATAATAATCTGGCCAATCAGTGTATACTAGTATATTAAAAAAAAAAAAGTAAGTACTACTGGGGAGTCCCATGAAGAATCTCTTTAATTTTCACTTGTATTTTATTTATAGTAACAGTACTTCAGATTTAAAAACAAAAACACATGTTTCTATTGTGAGAAAAATAAAACTTAAAAATATAATTTCTGCTGATATGACCAAGAATTAGGTATAATTTTGATTTACTCATTTTGGACAGCTATGCTGTGTTAGCTGTTGGCATTTAAAAATTTTTTTTTGACAACCTAAGGCCTGGCCAACATAGCACAGTGGTTGAGCATCAACCTAAGAATCAGGAGGTCACGGTTTGATTCCAGGTCAGGGCCCATGCCCTGGGTTGCGGGCTTGGTCCCCATGGGGAGCGTGCAGGAGGCAGCTGATCAATGGTTCTCTCTCATCGTTGATGTTTCTATCTGTTTCTCCCTCCCTCTCTCTTCGTTTCTGAAATCAATAAAAACGTATTTTTAAAAAAACTGATAATCTAAGGGAAAAGATTATCAGTTTTTTAAAAAACTGACCAGTCAGATATTGCATGTTTTGAAAATTCTTGCGGCACACAATTTGAAAAATTGTTGCATTAACCCTTTTCCTTATCTGTTCTCAAAACTGCCACATCTGATCCCTCAACATTTTACCAAGATCAGCCTTACAACTCCTTTGTTGTGATAGTTTACTAGAGGCCTACTGCACAAAGATTCGTGCAGCATGGGCCTTCCTTCCCTGGCTGCTGGCACCGCCTTCACTCTGGCCCAGAGCCACCTTTCTGCCTTTGCTCTGGCCCAGTGCCGCCTTTCCACGCTGACCAGAGGCCTGGGGCGGTGTGGAACGCCCGCGTTGTTGCCATGGCGATGATGCAAGTGTCCCACACCACCTATATGCTCATCTCCTGCATATGCAAATTAACCCATCATTTTTTTTTGTAGGGTTAATTTGCATGCTCACTCTTGACTGGCTGGTGGGCATTGCGAAGGTACAGTGAATTTGCATCTTTCTTTTTTATTAGTGTAGATAAGCCCCTTCTTCCTGTTTCAACTTATTTAACTGAAATTGAACTTGAGAAGAACACTGTGATTGATCACACCACAAAGGGAGCACACAGGCTGACTGGCCATCCCTGTCTGCCTAGGACTGAGAATTTCCAGGTACATGGAAACTTTGATGCTAAATCTAAGAAAGTCTGGGTGAACAGAATGGCTGAGTATTCTAAGTATACACTAATCAAACAGAGCAAAGGAGGGTGATAGTGTGTGTATGGGGGTCAGGGCAAAGGGCACACAAGCAACATAGGGAAGCAGCCATTTACTAGGACCCCAAATGCAAGTCTGACTTTATAGTGTGAAAAACGTACTACTTCCAAATCATGACAAGGCTAGGATCTTACTGTGTCAAAGGCCTTTTCTATCTTTCAGTGAGATGCTACAGTTTTCCCTACTTAATCTGCATATTTAAAGATTTCCAAGCTTTTAACTAAGTTATATCTCAAGAAAACCATGGATGTTAGAGTGTAAGTGCCCCAAGTAGATTTAAGTCATGAGCAAAGAGTCAATCATTCATAAACAATATAGTAGGAAAGCAGTGGGTTCTAAGTACCACTGAACTGCTCCCTTAGAACTGCACATGTTTTCATTATCTAAACGGCTTTCCAGTAACTATGGAAATTAAGTCTGAAGATCTACTCAGGTAAACAGAATGCTGAACCAGCCTTAGGCAAAAGGAGCAATAAGACTGGATGAAACTATCACATCTATTGACAGTACCTTAAACTTTCCTAACATACAAAGCCATTTGCTTTGGACCTAAATTATTTGGATTTCATTTAGTTAAAATGTGATTTTATTTGGTGTAGTGCTTGGGCAGGAGAGTACTTAGAGATTTTTTTTTAGAGATTTAAAAGATCTAAAACATTAAGAATTGATATACAAGAAAATGGTATACAAGACGGTATTAGCAAATAGAGATTATTTTATGTAGCTCCTGGTCTTTTCCTAGAATTTAAAAAATGTTGGTTTATCAAACTGTTCATGATATGTGTATACTCTTTCTTTGCATTAATAAATTATTATCAAATGAAATCTTTACTTACCCAGAGAACCTAGAGTATTAGCCCAAAGTGCCCCTTGCCTGGTCACCATGTTCAAAACCCTACAAGGGCAGGAAAATAAAGAATCTGTATTAGAATCACTATTTCCTCTAGTAATGTGAAAAGCCATAATTGCAACTATTTAGAAAGTATCAATACAATTCTCAGTTTTCTTCATAAAAACACTTAATACCTCCTCAGAATTCATAAGAATGGCTTTTACTTTATAGAAATAGAAATGAAGGTAAAATGCCAAACTTTTTGAGTAAGAAGTAAGGGAATTTCTCACATATATATAAAATAATTACATATATATCAAACACATAAAGGCTTTGAATGACAGCCTGAAATGTATTTTATAAGAAGTTTACAGATGCATGAAAAAAAAAAAAAAAAAAAAAGTACACAGAAACTGACATGGCCATTATAATGAACAAACTAGATTGCAATTAAGGGTGGTTTTTTTTTTTGGGGGGGGAGGGGTATATGTTGAGAATATTAAGTACAATCAAATCTTGGAATACTATAGAACATAAAGCAGAATTAAAAGTAAATATGTACTCAAAGAGAAGGAAAAAACGAACCAGAACACATAGAGAAAGCAAGCTGTGTCTGCTCCCACACTAGAACTAAGCAGCCAACGTGGATACTTAGCACACTCTCAAGGAAGCACAATTCTGCCTTGCACCAGTGCCTGATGCCACCAGAACAGTGACAGAGGCAACTGGAGGAAGAAGACAGGACATTTCTCTCCCAGCAGTGTAACACCATCACAGGAACGATATGTCTGGATAGCTGACTACTGCTGGATATTACAGAATTATAGCAGCAAAAAAACAAACAAAAACACTAAATGTTAATGCTCAAAAAAAAAAATTTGTATTACTTATAAAAGGTTGTTTATGGAGAAGTATATTATTTTAATTAATTATTTAAAGTTTAGCACATCGTTTTTACATTTGTCACAAGCCTTTTTAAAAAAATTGTCGAACAGCCAAAACCGGTTTGGCTCAGCGGTAGAACCTCAGTCTGCGGACTGAAAGGTCCCAGGTTCGATTCCGGTCAAGGGCATGTACGTTGGTTCCGGGCACATCCCCAGTAGGGGGTGTGCAAGAGGCAGCTGGTTTATGTTTCTCTCTCATCGACGTTTCTAGCTCTCTATCTCTCTCCCTTCCTCTCTGTAAAAAAAATCAATAAAATATATTTAAAAAAATTTTTCGAACAGAAACAAATTTTTTTTTTTTTAAACAGAGGAAGAGGGGAGAGAGAGAGAGATGGAAACATCAATGTGAGAGAGAAACACCGATCAACTGTCTTCGTCACGTAGCGGGATGAGGGATCAAACCCGCAACTTGGGTTTGTGCCCTGGCCAGGAACTGAATCCATGACTGGAAAGTGTGTTGGATAACACTCATCAGCTAAGCAATACCGATTACGGCTGTCACAAGCTTTTAAAACTATTAATTTTTATAGTGTTGTACTGTAGATAGCACTGCAAATTGGTAACATTCTTTGGGATGCAATTGGGCACCATACCTCCATATATTGGGCCTTTACTTCTAGCTTGAATCATCTCTCAATCAACTTTATAGGCAGACAGTATGGAAAAAGCTTACTGTCTTCATTAATATTTAATTATAGAATACTGGGAATTAGTTCATTGGGAATTAGTTTCATAATAATGTGGAAGGGAAGAAGAAGATGGCATACAATTGGTCTTGGTTGATGGCCGCTGAGAGTAAGTTATGGTTCATAGGTGTTCACTGTACTATCTTGCCTACTTTTATAGATATTTCAAATTTCCCACAATACAAAAAATAAAAATAAAAAAATTATTGGGGTAAGGAAAAAATATTAAGAATATGTATATATAAGAATAGTCAAGAATCTGGGCTAGTAAATCAAGGGCAACGATCAACGCAGTAGTAGGAATATACCTTCCAATTTCCCAAGGTCTAATTCTAGCAGACACCTGCTGCCATCTGCTGGTTAAACAATAAATAAGGAAGATGGAGTATCAAGTGTTCTATGTGAGTCTTTACATGTAGCCCAGCTGGTGTGCTCAGCGGTTGAGTATAGACCCAGGAACCAATAGGTTGCTGGTTCAATTCCCTGTCAAGGCACATGCCCAGGTGTGGGATCATTCCCTGGTAGGGGCTTTGCAGCAGGCAGCCAACTGATGATACTCTTGTCTCATACATGTCTGTCTGTCTGTCTGTGTCTCTCTCTCTCTCTCCTCCTCCTCCTCCTTCTCAAAAAATCAGTAAACATAAAAAATAAGAGCAGTAAGACTCTCATTAAAAAAAAAAAAATCACAGAAAACTGTGATTTCACTCATGTAAAGTATAAAAACATACAAAACTAAACAATATATTAAGGGAATGTCAACAGGGACTGGTCATGTTTATTTCTAAGGCTGGGTGAAGATATATATTACACTGGAAGCCCGGGAAATGGGATTTGTGCACTTGTGGGGGACATGGCCTGTGGGGATCGGCCCACTGTGGGAGTGCTGCTCATCCCAGTCTACAGAGTGGCGCTCTCACTGTAGAAGTGCACTGACCACCAGGGGGCAGCTCCTGCATTGAGCTTCTGCCCCTGGTGGTCAGTGCGCATCATAGCAACTGGTGGACCAGTCATTCTGCCATTCAGTTGCTTGTCTTTTATTATATAGAATATACTTTCTGATCTTTTCAATTGTACTTTCCCTTTTCTGCAAAACAATTTTCTTAAAAAACTGTCTTATTCCTTTTGGAACTATCTCTAACTTCTAGGAATTTTATTTAAATTTTCTGTAGCATTTCATTTCAGAAGTGGAAAGTGAAGTTAAATTCAAGTCAAGTAACAGCAAATCTAGTAACCACTCTTATGGGCTTTTTATTTCTTCACTACCATGTCCTATGGTTATGGTTGCCTCTGAACAATCCAAATAATATACTAATCATTCAGCAATTTGAAAAGCAGGTTTTATAGGCCTACAGAATGAAACAGGTATAGCGGAAAAGTTAAGACTGGGGTAGCACTAACTGACTGAGGGACACTGGCGCAAAAATCATTCCTTATAAAAGCTTAAGAGTCATAACTCTATTTCCTTTTATTTTGAGTAAGAAAAAAAAAGTGACTAAAAAGTATATCAATACTCTCAACATTTGTAATTGCAAGATAGAGCTCAGCAAACTAACAGAGTGGAGGTTAATATTCCACATTACCACATCAGATGATTACATGAGACTTACTGTACATTTCTTGGTTTGGACCAGGCCATGTTCTGGGTTTCTTTCAATCCTAGCCGTAGACCGTTCATTGCCCCAAATGCAGCCCCTAGTAAATCATAGTAACAATTCATCCAAATATTACATCTTTACAGTTAAAAACAACTGCACTTCTGATTTTTTTTATTTTTTATATAACAGAAAAAGATAAAAAAAATATTCTAATTGCTTTTGATTTTAAGCATCTTTGATTAAGAACACTTAAAAAGTGTATGATACCCACCTGTCATACAACATCCTCCAATGGTAAAGAAGGCCAGTTCAAACCTGCCCCGGGTTTTATTAGCTCCAGTGGGTAAAATAAATTCATCTGTATCCTAAATGGGTGATAATGAAAACCAAGCTGAGCGCCCCTCAGGATAGAGTACTTGCAGAGTTTTTTAATTTGTTAGTTTTTCACAAAAAGTATCAACTTAAATTAACTAAAACTTAACTATACTTAAACAAAAATAAAACTTTCTGCAACATCAGCAACACCTAAATCAAAGTAAAATGAAATATACAACATATATAGTTATGCACCGTCATTCTTAGGAAGAATTCCCTTTCAGAACTGTGCTTCTCACTGTAAATTTTACAGATTGCATGTAATTTGCCTTATCTCTATATATAAAAGCCTAAGTGACCATTACAACCGAACCAGAACAATTGGTCAATCAATTGCTATGATCAGTGCACACCCACAGCCAACTACCTGTGGACCCTCCTCCTGACCCTCACTGGTCCCTGGTGCTAAACCATCTGTAGAGACCTGCTTCTGGGTCGGGGTTCTGTACATAGCAGAGCAGCTCCCTCCCTCACTGCTATCTAACGAAAGTCAGCCCTTTACACAGGGTTTGTCTCACTCCCATCCTCTCTCTTCCCTGGGAGCCGCCTGCCCACCACAGTGATGGTACAGCAGTGAGGGAAGGAGGAGGGGTGAGGGAGGGTGATAGTGGCAGTGTTGGCACCTGTTCCTTCTGGACCCAGCCTGGCGACTGTCACCTCCTCTCCCCACTTGCCAGGGCCTTTGGGCCCCGAGCTGGGGTGGGGAACCGGAGGTGGGTGGTTGCGGACGTGAACCCTTTCCTAGGGGGACTAAGGGCTGGCTCACTACTCGGGGCCAGCAGCCAACCATGGTCCCCCGCCCCCATGCACAAATTTGTGCACCAGGCCTCTAGTCAGTGGTCCATGGCTCCCGAGCCATATGAGGCTCTTTGGCCCCTTGAGTTTTCTAACACTACTTCTTCAAAATAGACTCGCCCAGGCTGAAAACCGACTTCTTTGCACGGGCCATGAAGTTTTAATCGCACTGTACATGCACGCCCACACGTGGTATTTTGTGGAAGGGCCACACTCAAGGGGCCAAAGAGCCACATGTTTTCCCCGAGCCGTGGTTTGCCGACCACTGCTCTAGTGTAATCATAAATTTGAAGCAACAATGTAACAGAGTCTAGGAAGAACAGCCCTAGAAAAAGGTAAAGTGAAATCTATGAGAAGTAACCATTTACAGAATAACAGTCTGAAAGGAGAAAATAACTTTTATTTCATAGCTACTATCTATCAAACACCATTTTATATGTCAGATCAAATGATCATTAAAAAAATGAGCAGACACTATAAAAGCACAACAATTTGATCAGATATGCAAAGGCAAAACTACCTTAATAATTATTCCTTTGATAATCTTAGAAAGGAAGCTATAGTCCCTCTTTCTAATAAATGCATACACAAAATTTGGTGTGAACCGAACCCTAGTTTGAGAAATGCTACTCTAGGAAATGCTGCTCGGGTAGGCACCTAGCCGCAGCGGCATGCAACAATTTCAATAAAATATAACTAAAATGGACATTACCCAGAACTACAGGAAAGTCGACTGAATGGAAATTCTACAACAAGAAACAAGGAGAAAACCAGAAGGAAGAACAGAGGAGCTATAAAAGCCCAAGGTATGGAGACCCGCGGCGCGCGGAGAGGATGGAGCCAGAGAGGAGGGAGGCTGACTGGCTGGCGTTCCCTAGCGGGAAGGAGATAAAACTCCGACTGTGCTGGGCCCCAGTTCCTACTGCTCTGAACCCCAGTTCTAGGCCAAACCCTGGGGACCCAGGCTCACACAGAGGGAGCTGGGCTGAAAGGCGGAACCCCGGGGAAGAGGCGAAAAGAGGTCCTGGCGGCGCCGCGCAGAGAAGGGACAGTTGGCTGTGCCGCGGGATTGCCTGGTGGGAAGGAGACAGGGGCTCCAGTCTGCTCTGAACGCCACCTCCAACTCCACTTCCAACTGAACTGAACCCCAGTTCCGGGCCCATTGGGGGAGAGACTAGACTGTTTGGCAGCAGGTGAAAATCAAGGGCACCTTTCTCTCAGAGGCGCTTGCAAGGAGCACTGAAGGACCCTGAGTCTCAGGAGTCGCATAGGCGGGGCTGACAGAAGCCAAAGCTGTAGGCTCCACCCTGAGACCCCGCCCCATCAGGAAAGCTGCCTGCGAAAATGCCTAAACCAAATAGATCACAAACAAAAGAAATGGAGGACAAAAAGCGACTGGATATAGAGTTCAAAACCACACTTATAAGGTTTTTCAAGAGTTTCCTAGAAAAGGCCGATAAAATAAATGAGACTTATGAGGATATGAAAAAGGATCAACAAGAAATAAAGAATACATTGTCTGAAATTAAAAATATTATACAGAGTCCTAAAAACAGAATAGAAGATCGCAAGAATCAAGTCAAAGATTTGGAACATAAAGAGCCAGAAGACACTCCTCTGCAGAAGCTAGAAGGCAAGAGAATCCAGAAAATTGAAGATGTAAGAAACCTCTGGGACAACTTCAAACGATCCAACATCAGAATTATGGGGGTCCCAGAAGATGAGAGAGAGCAAGATATCGAAAACATACTGAAAGAAATAGTGACAGAAAACTTCCCCCACCTGGGGAAAGAATTGGACTTACAAGTCCAGGAAGCACACAGAACTCCAAATAAAAGGAATCCAAAGAGGACCACACCAAGACAAATCATAATTAAGATTCCAAGAGCAAAAGACAAAGAGAGAATATTAAAAGCAGCAAGAGCTAAGCAGGTAGTCACTTATAAAGGAGCACCTATACGATTGTCAGCTGATTTCTCAACAGAAACCATGCAGGCCAGACGGGAATGGCAAGAAATATTCAAGGTGATGAATAGTAAGAACCTACAGCCAAAGATAATCTATCCAGCAAAGCTATCACTCAGATTCGAAGGTCAGATAAAGAGTTTCACTAATAATAATAATAAAAAAAGCTAAAGGAGTTCATCACCACCAAACCAGAATTATATGAATTGCTGAAGGGGGTTCTTTCAGAAGAGAAAGTAAATAAAGATAAACATGATGAACAACAAATACGTAACTATCAACAAGTGAATCTAAAAACCAAGGAAATTAAAAAAAAAAAACCTGAGGAACAATATTAACTGTTGAATAGAATCAGAGGTATGGAAGGGGAGTGAACTGATGATTCTTGGGGAAAAGGGGAGAGGGGGATGTGGGAAGAGACCGAACATAAACTGTGCACCTATGGATGAGGACAATGGGGAGTGGGGAAAGGGCAGAGGGTGGGGTGGGAAAGGAACATTTGTAATAATATGAACAATAAAAATTTATGTAAGAAAAAAAACAACAAAAAAACGAGAAATGCTACTCTAAGAGCACAATATGATTAATTGTGCAATTACACACATTCATATGAAGGACACGTTCAGTACATTTTTCCCAAGCTTTCCACACAAAACTGGTTAGAAAAAGCTCTTGAAGGGCAGTACATACACATTTAGCAACTCTCTAACAGGTCCCTTTGTGAACTGCTGACCTTTGTTTAGTAAGTGCATTCCTGATTAGGAAAAATCATAGCTCTGTACTGGCTTTTGATTTCTGGCTTATGCATATATTCTCTGAAAAAGTTGTACAAATAAGCAAACACATCTACTCTTATCACGTAGAAATGATTGGGCAATAATAAGCACACACTGAATAGATGCCTTGCCGTGAATAATATTCATACACTAGAGGCCCAGTGTATGAAAATTTGTGCAGGGGGGGAAGGTAGGGTCCCTCAGCCCGGCCTGCCCACCTCTCACAGTCCGGGATACTTCAGGGGATGCCCTGAGCTGCAGTCTGGCCTCTGTTTGTGGGAGGTGACCAGACCAATCAGAGGAAGGTGCTGCCCCATCATCCTGACACTGCAGCTGCCGGCCCTCGGCTCTTGCAGCCGCCATGGCTTTGTCAGGAAGGATGTTCAGCTGTCCAGTCTAATTAGCATAGTACACTTTTATTATTATAGTTTTGTAAAGTTTGGGCACTTCCTGACATTAATTTTAAACTATGCTTCTGGTTTGAGTTTTTTCAAAATGTGACATTTGATTTGATGAGGTAAGTAATTATCTTTCAGTCAAAAAATGATTCACTAATTACAAATAGAAAATTTAAAAAAAATGGCTATGATGAACATTAGAAAGTCAAGTGCATGTCATTACCAACTCACTCTTTGTTAGGGTCAACTATACTAAAAAGATTATGAGGATTGAAAGCAAATATACTTCCTTCATATACAGTGATTTGAAAATAATGTGATGATTACTTGTTACTTGTCACTGGGGCTTTTAAAGTTAGTAAAAAGGTACTGTTTCACCCTTGGTTGGAACGTTATCCTGTGCACCGAAAGGTCTTTGGTTTGATCCCTAGTTAGGTCGCATGCAGAAGGCAACTGATTGATGTTTCTCTTTCTCTCCCTTCATTCTAAAACAAACAAACAAACATGTCCTCAGGTGAGGATTTAAAAAAGTACTGTTCCATATAACAAAACTTTTCAAAGACTTTGAGGGAGGAGACGCTGGTCAAATTGCATTTATTTGGGGTGGGGGAGGAATCCATGAAACTAAAGCTCATGGTTTCTATAAAAATCTGATTACCAATTTTTCCCTACTTGTCTCCATATCCTTGTTGAAAACCTACTGACTATAAATGCGAAGTTTATTTCTGGCCTTTCAATTTTATTTTGTTGATCTATTTTTAGAGCTATCCTTATGCCAGCGCCACAATGTCTTAATTACTGTAGCATGGGAATCAGTTTTGAAATTAGGATGTGCAAGTACTCCAATTTGCTCTTCTTTATCGATTATTTTATATCCTTTGTATTTTTATATGTATTTTAAAATCAGCCAAATTCTGCAAAAAATCTTGCTGAGATTTTGTTAGCATCTGTTGATTTGGAAATTATTGTTATTCTAACAATATTAGACCTTCCAAGAAACTGGAATACCTTCAATTTATTTGTCTTAAATAAATTTTGGATTTTTATTGAAGTTTGTCCTACATATATATTTTTTTATGTCCTTGTAAATGGAATTGTTTTTGCACTTTCATTTTTGTGGTGTCCATTGCTATTATATAGAAATATAATTAATTAGTTATACTGATCTTGTGTCATTCTACTTTGCTGAAATTCTAAATTAAAACTATTTTTTTTGTGGTCTCCTTAGGATTTTCTTCCTTTTTTAAATATATTTTTATTAATTTCAGTGAGGAAGAGAGATAGAGAAATATCAGTGATGAGAATCACTGATCAAGCTGCTCTTACATGCCCCCTACTGGGGATCAAGCCTGCAACCCGGGCATGTGCCCTGACTGGGAATGGAATCATAACTTCCTGGTTCATAGGTTGACGCTCAAACACTGAGCCATGGCGGCTGAACCTTTAGGATTTTCTATACACAAGATCATGATACCTTAAAATAGTTTTTACCTTTTCTTTTATCAATCTGGATGCCAGTAATTCTCTTGCCTAATTGCCATGGTAGGACAATGCTGAAGAGAAGTGAAGAGAGCGGGCATCCTTGTCTGGTTCCTTATTAGTGGGAACATATGGAGATTTTCACCATGTTAGTTTTGGATTTTTTCCCCTCTGCATGAGTTCTCTCTCTTTGGAATTTTTTTTTAAACTTCATTTTTATTGTTGACACTATTACAGATGTCCCCATCCCCATCCCAATCCCTTTGTCCACCTCCACCCAGTCCCATAGCTTTGGAAATTTTGATAAAAAAGATTATTCCTAGTTTATTTATTTATTTTTTTAAATCACAAAGGAAGGCAGCTATGCTCACCACTATACCACCACCGTTTTTTATATAATAATAAAAGCGTAGTATGCAAATCGACCCAATGGCCCAAAAGCAGGATAACCATCCTGATGACCACACTATGACATGCACTGGGCGCCAGGCCACCGACCAGCAGGCTGCGGCAGGTGGGTAGAACCTCCCTCTGCAGGGCCATAGAAAGGGGACCCCTGGCTGGCTGGGCAGGGCCTACCTCTTTGGGGCGGTCAATTGCAGAGCCCCGCAATTGACTTCCTTGCAGAGGGAGACCCAGGGTTTCTGGCCAGTGGCACTGCGGTGGGTTGGCGGGGCTTCCTTCTGTGGGGTGATTGTCATGGGACTCCCAGACTGCAAGAGGGCGTAGGCTGGGCTGAGAGAGAGCCCCCCACTCTCCAAGTGCACAAATTTTGTGCACCAGCCCTTTAGTAAAGAATAAGGAAACAGAAAAATCAATGAAACCCAAAGTCGATTATTTTAAACACCTTTAGTTAGATGGATTAAGAAAAAAAAGTGGCCGAAACCGGTTTGGCTCTGCGGACTGAAGGGTCCCGGGTTCGATTCCGGCCAAGGGCATGTACTTTGGTTGCGGGCACATCCCTGGTGGGGGGTGTGCAAGAGGCAGCTGGTCAATGTTCCTCTCTCATTGACGTTTCTAGCTCTCTATCTCTCTCCCTTCCTCTCTGTAAAAAAATCAATAAAAAATATATTTAAAAAGAAAAAAAGAAAAAAAAGTGAAGTCTCAAATTATTAAAATTAAAACAAAGATGAGGACATCATTATTGATTTTATACAAGTTAAAATGGATTATAAGTCCTATGAACAATTGTATGCCAAGTTCTGGGATGAGCTTGATGAAATGTACAAATTCCTACATACACAAAACCCATCAAGAAATAGAAAATCTGGATAGACCTATAACTAGTAAGTGACTGCATCAGTAACAAAATCTCATAAAAAGTAAAGCAAAGCAAAGCCCTCCTCAGACCCGATAGCTTCACCTAGAGTTTGGTGAACTCTACCAAACATTTAAAGAACAACAATCTTTCTCAAATTTTTCCAAAAAACTGAAGTGCAGGAAAATACCTGGAACACTTCATAACTCTTTGTACGAGGCCAGCATTATCTTGAAAACAAAGCCAGACAAAGACACTAAAGAAAACCACAGATCAATATTGCTTTCATGAACAGTGATATATAATCCTCAACAAAATACTAGAAAACCAAATTCAGCAGCATATTAAAACAATCATACACCACAACCAAGTGGGATTTATTCCTGGAATGCAGGATGGTCCAATCTGTTAAACTAATACATGAATTCAGCCAAGTAACAGGATATAAAGTCACACAAAAATCAGACAACTTCTACCTACTAACAATGAGTAATCTGAAAAAGGAATTATGAAAACAATTCTAAAATAAAATACTTATGAAAGACATAAGTAAATGAAAAACATATCCCATGTTTATCGATTGAAAGTCACTATCCAAAGCAATCAACAGATTAAATGTAATGCCTATCAAAATACCAATGATGTTTTTGCAGAAATAGGAAAACTCATCCTAAAATTCATATGGAATTTCAGTGAATCCCTAACAGCCAAAACAGTATTGAAAAGAAACTCATAGACTACCTGATACCAAAACTTACAAAAAAGAACCGAGAAATAAACCCTCACATATGTGGTCAAATGTTTTTCAACAAGGGACAAAACTATTCCATGGGGAAAAAATAAAACTGGATATCCACAAGAAAAAATGAAGCTGGACTTTTATGTAACAAGGTGTACAAAAATTAACTCAAAAATAGATCAAAGACCTAAATGTAAGACCTAAAACTATAAAACTCTTAGAAAAGAATAGAAAAGCTTCATGACATTAAATTTGACAATTATATCTTTTTTTTTTTTTTCAATTGTATTTTGGTACCAAAGGCACAGGAGACAAAAGGAAAAATAGAAAAATTGGCTTGCATGTAAATTTAAAAATTTTGTGCACCAAAGAGTATTACCAGAGTGAAATGGCAACACACAAAATGGAGAAAATATATATATATATATATATATATATATATATATATATATATAGTATATTTTTATTGATTTCAGAGAGGAAGGGAGAGTGAGATAGAAACATCAATGATGAGAATCATAGATCTGCTGCCTTATTCATGCCCCCCCCCCAACAGGGGATCAAGCTGCAACTTGGGCATGTGCCCTTGATTAGAATCAAACCCAGATCCTTCAGTCCGAAGGCCAATGCTCTATCAATGGAGCCAAACTGGCAAGGGCGAAACAAAATATTTTTAAATCATGCATTTGATAATGGGACATGATATTCAGCATATATAGAAAACTCAACAGAAAAGACTCAATTTAAATGTGGACAAATGACTTGAATAGATGTTTCTCCACAGGAGATATAAATGCAAATCAAACTATAGAGAGTCACTACCTTATATTCATCAAGATAGCTATGATTTAAAAAAACAAACCCAGAAAATAACAAGTGTTGGCTAGGACAGTGGTCAGCAAACTGCAGCTTGCGAGCCACATGCAGCTCTTTGGCCCCTTGAGTGTGGCTCTTCCACAAAATATCTGTGCAACTGAAACTTCATGGCCCATGCGCACAAGTCAGTTTTCGGCTCAAAAGAAATTTAATCACTGTACTGTTGATATTTGGCTCTGTTGACTAATGAGTTTGCCAACCACTGAGCTAGGATATAGAGAAATTGGAGCCCTTGAACACTGTTGGTGGGAAATTTTTACTGTGGAACACAATATGGCAATTTTTCAAAAAATAACAAATTACCACATGATGCTGCAATTCTACTTCTGACTATATAATAAAAAAAAAATAAAAGAAGGGTCTGAAAGAGATATTTATATCTGTACACCATGTTTAAAGCAGCACTATTCACAATAGCTAAAACATGGAAGCAATACAAGTGTCATGGACAGATGAATGGGATAAGCAAAATGTAATATTATTCAATGGAATGAGATGCTAAATAAAATAAGCCAGTCATAAAAAGACAAATACTATATGATTCCATTTATTTGAGGTATTTGGAGTATAGAATCAGAGACAGAAGAGTGATTGAAGGGTTGGGGGAGGCTGGAACGAGGAGTTATTTTGTAATGGGTACACCAGTCCTCCCGTATCCATGGGCGATATGTTCCAAGAACCCCCGGTGGATGCCTGAAACTGTGAGTTATACTGAACTCTATACATGCTATGCTTTTTCCCCCTGTACTTAAGACAGTTTAATTTATAAATTAGGCACAGTAAGGGATTAACAGCCATAACTACTAACACACCTGAACAATTTTAACAATATACTGTATTAAGTTATGGGAATGTGGTGGGTCTCTCTCTCTCTGATAACAGTGACTAAGAGGAGGTAGCATAGATAGTGTCCATCTGCTGAACAAAGGGATGATTTACGTCTTGTACTGTACGAAGCAGGAGATTTCATCACACTATTCAGCATGGCGTGTGATTTAAAATCTATGAATTGTTTATTTCTGGAATTTTAAAATTTAATACTTTCAGAGCAAAGTTAATCATGGGTACCTGAAACCACAGAAAGTGAAACTGCGGGAAAGAGGGGACTACTGTATAGAGTTTCATTTTTTACAAAATGAAAGAGTATGGAGATGGTAGGTGGTGATGGCTGTACAAATGTATTTAGTAACAGTGAACATAACACTTAGAAACAGTTATATAGCAAATTTTGTTAGCGTTATTTTACCACAATTTAAAAAACATGGGGGGAAGAAACAAACCCCAAAACCTTTGAAAGAGATTTAATCAACTAATGTCAGGGAGAAGTTGCAAGCCAAATTCCTAGGGTTTATGAGAAAAAAAGGTGCCTCCAAAAGTACATAGTACGTTTAAAATGGTAAGCACCTAACTAGTAAAACCATAAAAGGACTAGTCTGAATCTTACCTGCACAAGATACCGTGGATCCACACTTAAATAGGGAGATAGAGGACTCATACCAGTCACTAGAAGAAAACAAAGCATCATATTGCAACAAAAAGTTTAAAGTTATTTTATTTAGCACTAATTCTGCTCTTGTTTCATGATCTGTAATTCTGACATACAGACTCACTGAATGTGATAATTTTTCTCACTTTTCTATGCATATCCTTGTTGTCTGGCAGTTTGGGGACTACCTCCTCCTACTGTCTTTAATCCCAAACCAGATATTACAGTGACGGCTCAGGCACCCACACATGAATATTGGCAATAATACATATTGAATAATCAAAGTACATTTAAGGAAGCACAGCTCAGATCAATTATAAAGCTAATTTCTTTCTACTTTGCTACAAGAGTGCTTGCCAACTGTACAAACTGCAAAATAAAACTGATAAGAAACCAAATAATTCCATGGGAGAAACAGTGTTTGGGCTATGTGCTGTGAACGATATTTATGGCAGTTCCATGTTAACACTTGCTGATAGAGTTGGTTTACTGTGGCAGGCCGTTACCACAGGGATGGGGGTTAGGACGAAAAAAAAAGGAAACTCAAGAGAGCCAGACTTGAATTCCACTAACTTAAGTTAGAAAAATCAAGGAAAATAAACTTTCCCACATTTTAAATTTAATCTTTGGATCCTTCTGTATCTTAGTTGATTGTTCTCAAATCTATGCATTTCCTATGACTGTGGTCTTTTCATCAACTGAAAGGCCTAGCAGTTCCTAATTCAACTGCGATCTTGTATTGTGTTAGTTATCGTTTATTGACACCATACTAGTCAACCATTAAATCTCACAGACTGAAGTATAATAATCCCTTCAATTCACTTTTTTTTTTTTTAAATCCTCACCCGGGGATATTTTCCATTGATTTCTAGAGAGGAAGAGAGCATGAAAGAGAAATATTGATGTGAGAGAAACACATGGATTTGGTTGCCTCCGGCACGTGCCCTGAGGGCTCAGGCTGGGAGGAGCCTGCAACCCAACCCAGATAGTGCCCTTGACAAGAATCGAACCCAGAACCTTCGATTTGCAGGCTAATGCTCTCTCCATTGAGCCAAACCCTATCCACTGGGCAAACAGGCTAAGGTCCTTCAATTCACTCTTTTCATAGCAACAAGTGATTTCTTAAGAAAAGGAAATCATCTGAATAGCTGTCATTTACACTTACAAATTCAAACTCCTTACCTTGGCTCACAAAACACTACATTACCATCTGTCATTCCTTGCCCCTCTGAGCTCAGTATCTCCTATCACTCCAACTCTCTTGCAATTTTGCACACATCTCACAGTTGTTCCTCCAACATGTCTAGTTTGTGTGTTTTTCCTCCTCAGGACACAGGTACTAGACATTTTCAGTGGTGTATTTGCCTCCTCCCAGGTCATAACCCAAATATCAACACCCCCAAGTTGCTTCCCCTGACCCATTCTAAAAAGGTGTCCAGCTTCCAGCACCGTCTCATGATCTTGCTTTGCTGCCCCTACACACACACTTAACACTAACTGGTGTTTTTATTTACTTTGCTCACTTCAATAGGATGTCAACTCCTTAAAAAATAAAAATTAACTGCTTAAGTTAATTAAAGTCACTGGCTCATTCTAGGTGCTCAAAGAATGGTGTTCACCCTTCAATCTCTCACCCAGCCTTCAATCTAGGTAAAGTGAATATAACATCGCTTTGCCACATTAAGGCGCACTGCCTCCGTGCTGCAAAACTCTGACTCCTAAGATTTATATGGAAACTGTGTTCTTGATGCAGGTGACACTAGGAACTTGAAAAGGTGTTTGTTTGTTTGTTTGTTCTTGAGCATAAAGGATCTAGAGAAATAATACAAGAATTATCAAAAAAAATAGTTTTATAAAGGCATTATCCTCTACCAAGTTCCTACTACCTTTAAGTCCAAGTTCTAGTCATCCCACAACGTCCGAACGATGAGGAATACATGTTCATAGGAACGAGGAGCGAGCAAAGGCGGGGTGCCCATGCTTCTGCGCCCTCGCCCGTGCACACTGCCTTCCGGAAGCCGCCTCTGCCTGGGAGTGACTGAAGGCGCAGCTCGCCCCCAGCTCCTCCGGGTGTCCCACTCCCACCCCTCTGCCCGCCGGTGTTACTGAGCGTCCCGACCTGCCGGCTGCTTTGTGGTTCAGAACACGCGGCTTTGGGCTAACTAACATGTTTCCTACGGGATCCTATTTGGAACACATTTACGTGCCGAGCTGGGCTCTCCTCCTAACGTAGGGCCCGGACACAGCCCACCGCACAAGGGGACACACGTGCGGGAGGAGAGAGGAGGCACAAGGCTCGGACGTAAAAGGAAGAAAACATGAACATCTCTGAGCCCAGGTCAACCCTAGAGAGCTTGTGGGGGACCCAGGGCTCCCCAAATCTGCTCAGTCTTGACAGGGCGGCAGCGAGACACGCCGCTGACACTGAAGACCGTGAACACCGACAAGGGAGAGAGGAAGGGCACGCCGCACGCCTGGCCGAGTCGCAAGAATCCGCCAGAAACGATCGCCAGCGGCGCGCGTACTTACGCGGGACTCCGGCCAAATCCGCGTGCGAGTAGCCAGCTCCGCCGGCCCCGAAGAAGCCGGCCAGCCCGCCGGTGGTCTTGTTGCCGCTCCCCCCGCCGCCCTCCATGGTCTCGCAGCAAACCGGCCGGCACCCTCACCACCGCCTCAGGCCGCGGCCGTCCGCTCGGCCGTCGCTCCTCAGGAACAGCGGGCGGGCGCACGTTACCGCCGACTCCTTCACACGCTGACCTTCCGGGCGCCGGTGTCCGCAGAGCCGCGCACTTCCGCTTTGCGACGTTCTACGACCCGGAAGCCGGGCGCGCCCGACGGCGGTTTTCCGGCGGTGGGAAAGTGAACGCCGCCAGAATCAGGGCGGTTGCATCCCGAGGCAGGCGGGCGCCCGGAGGAAGAGGGAAGGCAGGCGGCTGGGGAGGGCCTGGCTTGGGAAGCCGGCGGAGCGGCAGCTGCAGAAGCGGCAGCGCAGAGAGGGGATGGTGCCCGGAGGCGCCGAGAAGGAGGTGCAGTCCGTCCCGCAGGGTTAGTGAATGAGGCTGTCCGCCGCGGGCCGGCCGGGGACTGTGCGGTGCGGGTCCCAGCATGAGTTCGGGTCCCGCCTGTGAACCCCGCATCAAGCGACCCCGCTGGGGCGTCTCTGAACCTTCGCCGGCCGCCTCCGACGCCCGGAGCTCCCCCGGCGGGCAGAGGCGCGTCCTCGATCCCAAGGACGCTCCGGTGCAGTTCAGGGTCCCACCCTCCTCGCCAGGCTGCGCCCCCGGGTGGGCGGGGCCGCACCGAGGCTGCACCACCTCGCTTGGTACGTGGGGAAATAAAGACCTTTGCCCTTCGCTCCGGCCCAAACCTCCTCTCGGTCTGTGTGAGGACCCAGGAACTCCAGTCACCCTTTCTGGTCTGGTGTGCACCACTCAGGTCCCCTCACTGAGCCACGAAGGCCACTAGTGGGGACGTGGGGCCACATTTTTTCTGTTGTGGCGTGAGAAACGCTGATGATCAGTCACAGGGCGGGAAATGACAGGACACTCCACCTGTTTGCTTTACTCGGGTTTGACTTGAGAAATTGTCTTAGTCGTTAAGGAGGTCTAATTGTGTATGTGAGACTTCAACCTCTAGATTGAAAGAAACTACAGCACAACTTCCCTAAATTAAGATTCTGCCTCAGTGGGTGCAGAGCTGTTAGTTTTAGCCTTGCTGTACTTCACTCTAGCAAGCTGGGTTGAATTAGGGTCATTTGGCCTCTGTCTTCAGGCCCTAAAATTTGTCGTGAGGGAGTTACAGAAGTCAACACAATAAAGGGTAATGGGTGTTTTGATAGATGGTAAGAATCCCTAATCCAGTCTGGGATCAAAGACAATCTCACAGAAGATAAAATACTTAATCTGAAGACTGAAGAAAGAGGAAGGAAGCATTCCCAGCACGCTGCTGATGTCTACTGTCCAGGGAGAGAGAGTAGTGAGATATGAGACTGAGAGCTAGGCAAAGACTTGCAGGGTTTTGCACTTTAAGTACAGGGCAGAGAGAGGCTGATAAAAGGATTTTTGGTAAGGGAGTAGCTTGATCATGTATAATCTTTTTGGGGCTTGGATAAAGTTCCTTGTGCTTGGTGTGTGGAAAATGAATGGATTGAAAGAGCAGAAATGCAGGCCAACACTCATTAAAAGTTAATCTGGGTGGGAGATAAGATGGTTTTATACTTAGCTGTGGGCAATAGGGAGGGGAGAAGTGGTTCCATCAAGGAGAGAATGCGTGTGTGAAGAACTATATCCGTGCTGTAAATGAAGGTTTGGAAGTTTTTGACTTAAACATGATAATTGATGCTGTGGAAGTTCGATCACATAAAGCTTGCAGAGGAAATAAAGGTGCCATAGGACAGAAACTTTAGGAAACTACCATTTAGAGTAGGCAGAAGAGAATCAGCAAAGTTAGGGGGGAAGCCTGGCTTTTGTGTCATGTAGGGAAGATAGCATTTCAAAAAGGAGGTCAGGCAGTCCTCTGGTGAGCGGTGTACACTTCTCTCAGGATTTAGAGGCAGTGGGGAGCAGATCTAACTAAGTTCTGAAGGATAAGCAGAATTTGCTGCATAAATCAAAGAGAGAACAAATTTATAGACCAAGAGAACAGCATGTGCGGAAGGTGATAGGATTGGAGCGCAGAATAACATTGGTGTCAGGTGACCTGGGAAAGAGGGGCAAAGCTTATCATGGAAAAACAAGTGCCATTTCAACGCACTTGGACTTTGTTCTCTGGTTAATGGGGAGCCACTATGAAGCTCTTAAGGGTGTTATCATTTGATTAATAGTCTAGAGAAGATTGCTTAGGCTGTGGCCTTTGGAATTTTCTACAGTTTCAGTTTCATCTAGCTCACAGAGTAAGAAATGCATGTAACCTGGTAAATATGCTATATTTATAACAAACAAGTTTTTCATGAAATAACTAGAGGCCTGGTGCATGAAATTCATGCACTCAGGGGGATAGGGTATCCTTCAGCCCAGCTAGACAGTGCAGGCCAGGCCGAGAGACCCCACTAGTGCACAATCGGGGCCAGGGAGGGATTCGGGAGGTTGGCCAGCTGGGGAGGGACCACAGGAGGCCTCCAGGGAGTGTCCAGCCTATCTCACTCAGTCCCCGATGGGCTGGACCCCAGAAGCAAGCTAACCCACCAGTTAGAGCATCTGCCCCCTGGTGGTCAGTGCATGTCATAGTGAGCAGTTGAGTGGCCTTAGCATATCATTAGTATATTACACTTTGATTGGTTGAATGGCCGACTGGACACTTAGCATATTAGGCTTTTATTATTTAGGATACTTATCATTACTATGTATGATGCATTTTTATGTTGTCTGAATTATTTCATTAAAAATGTTGGTCATTTGTAGTTTATAAAACATAGAAGATTAAGAAACAGGAGATCAGTTGCAAGAAATAAATGCAGTTGCAGTTGTCCAATTGTTACAGAAAACCAGAGGAAACCAAGCAATAGAGGGATGGAGTTACATTTATTACGCGCGGGCCCAGAGGAAAATGTCTCTCAAACTCTGGGCCCCCACATGGAGGAATTTCCCCTATTTATATGTTTTTACCTTCTTTGTCTCCCAAATATGGGGTGTTTCCAGCCCCCTTTGCAAGTTCTTAAAGAGCCCCATGTGCTGGGGCCTTGAGGCCTCAACCAAAGGGCTGGCCTGGTGCCAGCACTGATAACTTCATCCGGGGAAGGTTTAATGGCCTTTCCGAAGTGGGAGTCGTCTTACTTTCCTTATTACTTAAGCAAGTAAGGAAGCATTTACAGAAGCCAAATAGCAGGGTTAAAATGTCAAACAGCAGTTTTTATGTAAGATGGATGCTTCCCAATAAATGACGTACCTATTGTGATGTTCTAATGTTGGTGCTATTTTGATGGAGGGGAAAGGATGGCTTTAAGATTTTTGGATATAGATTCAGAGGATTTGGTGAAGGAGAGTGTAGGGGAGAGGGAACTGAGAGTGACCTCTAGGAATTGTGACCTCTAGCTAATATGTGGTCCCATTCACTTTATCCTATATAAAAGTGAATATGCAAATCGATTGACTGGTTGTTATGATGTGCACTGACCACCAGGGGGCAGATGCTCAATTCAGGAGCTGCCCCCTGGTTGGTCAGGGCGTTCCCATAGGGGGAGCACCTCTCAGCCAGAGCCAGGCTCACAGCTGGTGAGTGCAGCGGTGGTGGTGGGAGCCTCTCCAGCAGTTGGACTCCCCCCCCCCCCCCCAGACTCCCCAACTGGGAGAGGGCACATGCCAGCAGAGGAACCCCCTTCTATACCCCCCAGTGCTTGAATTACATGCACCTCCTTCCTCTAGTTTACAGAGGAAGGAGGAAAAGTTATTTGCAGGTGGTAGGGGCAGGCAGTCCTCACTCTTTGGATTTTCTGCAGAAGATGAACCAAATTAATACTTGGGCTGTACTTTATGTGTGTAAATGTTTTCAGTGTACCTGGCACAGAACTCCAGTTAACAAAATGTTCAAAGTCTAAATCTATCAAAAACTGTTGTTTCAAATTTTGGAATTTTTTTATGAACTTGGTATTTAGAATTTTTATGTATAGTTATCCTAGGAGAAGTAGGCAGGATAAGGAAGTGGGTATTTCTTCAGAGTCTTTAAATTTTGTGTTATTTATTTTCCTGGGCATATTTTTTATATTGATTAAGATTTGTATATCTACCTACAGTCGGAATCTAGCATGCCATTCATATTCTGACAGGGCATGATTTGTCCAGTTGTGCTGCTGTGGGAGCTGCCTTTTTCTGCCTGTTGTAACTACCTAGAGGTTCTCCCCCTCCACAGATGGTGCGAGTGTAGGCAGTGGTTGGGGAATGGGGGCCTGGATTCTTTCCGCCACAGAGCTGTCAAAAGCATCTTCAGACCTCTTTCCTCATCTCAGAAACTCCCCCACTGCCCATTGCTCTTGGTCTCACTGCATCCTTCCTCCCCATACCTTACGTTGCTGCTGTTGGAGGAAAGAGACTTTTTGTGGAGACGGGGTGTTCCTTTGATATGGAGGTGAATTTGACAGATTTTGTGTCTTTTGCCTGTATGTGTAGCACCTAATTGAATTATTTGCTCATTGAAACATGCTGATTACGGAATGATGTTACTGATGAGATTATGTGTAAATAGGGTGAAGTTAGAATAAAGTTGGATAACTACTAATTTCAGTGACAAAAGAGAGAGGGTGGAAGTGTTGGAAGAGAGTACATTTTCAGCTCTGTGAGGCTGGACACTTAATATTTTCTCTCATTCATCTACATAAGCCTTGGAAGTAGGTATTGTTAAGCACATTTTATAGGTGAGAAATAGGAACTCAAAGAAATGATGTATTTCTAAGAGACTGAACAAAGTAAGGTCTCCATATCTTGTGTCTTTCTCATCACCTATTGCCTCTCATTCTATTTGCTGTGATTACTTCAAGTTAAAAGGTAGAAGTTCCCTGGGAAGCATCATTTTATGCTTACTTCAGGAATAAGAGGGGTAAAACAGAAACAGTCCTGTGTTGTGTCTCAAAAGATACCCTTGGCAGCCAGCAGTAGTGGTATTGGGAAGAGAAGTAGGCAGCCCTTCCTCTGGGGCCCTCAGAAGGGTTGGGAATGTTTTATTAGCAGGAAGTGTCAGTCCTCACTGCTGCTTCTCCTCCTTCATCCTGTCCTCAGGTTTCAGGAATGATCACAGGAGCCTGAACCTGGAGAGGGAAGCCAGGCTCAGCCAGAGCTTCAGGAGAGAGCTCCCTTCTCTGCTTGTTGTAGCTGCCTAGAGTTCCCTCCCCACCCCAGCGATGGTGCAGGTAGCTGAAGAGCCCTGCCCTTCAACTGCACTGGAACACTTTCAGTCTTTTCTGAAATAATGTAGGCAGTATTTCATTATGTTTCATTGTGGTTCTGTTTCATGTGTGTTATAGGTATCTGGTCATTGAATACCATATAATCCTTACATTTATGGAAAAAGGTGTTTTAAATTCCACATTGATTCAAAAAGTGATTTTGTTTTGGGGGAGCTCATTTCTGGTTCGTAACTTGAGGACTTTCTATACTTGCCGTATTTAATATAATGAAATTAATAGAGAAGGTGGAACTGTAGGAAATGTCTCAGAATCAAGAGGTTCATCTCTTATTTCTTTCTGACTAAAACTAATTTTTTTTCTCAAGCCTGATTTGCTGTATTAAAACACCAAAAGTAGTGGTATTTAACATGAAATACTAAACATATATGTAATTACTTTTTTGAAAGAAACTATTTCTTTCAAAAAGCTAAACAGTTTTACTAGATAGACTGTTGGTATTTTGTGGAAGGTACAAATTATGTGGCAATTATAGTGATAAATAAGCTGTTGATTTTCATATATTTGGGACAGCATCTCTTTTGCTCATGTTGTATTTGAGGGCCATAGGTAGATGAGAATGAGTGTATGATTTAATATGCCTAGATTCATTGCAGTTTAGACCAGTAGTTGAGACTGTCAAGATTTTGTTTTTTTTTAATACTAAAATATTATATACATTTAATCTACATAAAGGACATTAACTTTTGAAAGCATGTTTGTTTCTAATGCTTATACAAGTTGTGGCTTGCATTTATTTATGTTGCATTTTTCTCTACTTTTGCTACTGTCTGCTGGTCTTTTCTATCTAGTTATTTCATTGGCAGTTCAAATTTAGTATGTTCAGAATTGACCTAATTATATTTCCCCCTAAATCCAGACCCCCCTCCGTTTCTATTTAATGCTCTCCCATCTTTTAAGTCTATCAAGCTTAAAACTTAGTGTCACCTTTGATTTCTATGATTATGAAGTCTGAAATGACTCACTTCTCAACTTTTCCCCTCTATTCTCACAAGGATCGGTTCTGGTCCTTGGCAATAGTTCTCCAGACTAGTTGATCATCAAAATCACTTTTTGAAAAAAATACAGATTCTAGCTCCCCTCATACCTCCATCATACAGACTCTGATTCAGTATGTGTGATGTGGCTCTGGGACCCACTTATTAGCAGCCTCCCAGTGAATTGGATGGTTTGGGATCCACTGACCTAGATCAATAGTTTTCTTGTTGGTTTCTACCAATGAGGTTTCTTCTTGCCCCTTCAGGTTTGCTCTCTAGGCTACATGTCTCATGCATTACTGGGACTTCTTTGTTTTGCATTCTGGAATTAAAGCTCTGAATGTGACTTGTGGCACTTTTTTGTAATCCCAGGAGAGATACTATTCATTTGCATGTTTACAGATAAGGAATCTGAGACACAGAGAAAGGACCCTTCGCAAAGTCACATAGGAATCCAGTGGGAGACCAGGATTTGAATCCAGATGGTCTGATTCTAGAGCCTATACTCTCATTCATTAGGCCATATCAACTCTTTTAGAGGCTGATTGATTTCTATTCTATGACAAAAGTGTTTATGTTCCTGTATTATTTCCCATGCTTGAGTGTGAAAGGAGTGATTGATCTTTTGAACCCACAGAATGTAGCATAGTGCATTACATGTGTATATGCTGTTATAAGTATTTTCTCTTTGAAGGTTTGTATTCATATACATTAAAGTTTTGGGTGTTGTTGTTTTTTTAACAGTTTTCAAACAAAAGACTATTACCAGTTGGATGGACACTAAAGGAATCAAGACAGCTGAATCAGAAAGGTATAGAACATATGTTTATAGAGAAATGAATGGCATGTTATATGGGTGTTTTAGCTTCATGCTATTTTCTCTCCTTGCTTAGTTTTTTAAATTCACGTCTATTCATTCTTTCAGTTTATAAATAAAAAGTTTTTAGAGTCTCTTATATACTTTAGATTGTTCTTATACTTGAGATACAGAAGTGAAGTGGAAATAATTCTATCTTTAAGATACTTGTAATGGTGACAACAGATACAGAAACACATGATTATAGTAAGTCTTCACTTATGTTTCAGTAGGTTTCACATCTTTAAGTGAAATGGCATACAATGAAACCAGTTTTGCTATAGGCTTAATGATATAAACAAGAATTAAGTTCCTATTGCATCTTATTAACATTATAACAAGATTATATTGAATGAAACAACGTTATTCAAGGACCTGCTATATTAGTGTGATAAATGCCACAGTAAAGGTATAAGCAAGGTACAGTGGTAGTAAGAATGTAAAACAAACTATCAACTTTAGAGTTAGGAAAGACTGCCCAGGAAGTGATGTTTATTGCTTGTTTATTAGGCACATAGTTGGGGAAAGGGCATTATAGGCATATGTGCAAAGATGTGGAGTCATGAAAGAGAATGCTGTATGCTTAGGTAATCACAAGTAGTTTAATTATTGCTATGATTTTGGATTGTGGTTGGGTAAGTGGTTTCTTTGCATCATAAGTTCTTTCTATTATAATGTAAGTTCTGCTTTGTCATTAGTTCTTTCTATTTTCTTATAGTTTGCATAGTAAAGAAAACAACAATACAAGAGTAGAATCCATGATGAGTTCTGTACAAAAAGATAACTTTTATCAACATAACATGGAAAAATTAGAAAATGTTTCTCAGCTAAGTATTGATAAATCACCAGTTGAAAACAGTACACAGTATTTGAACCAGCAGCAGACTGCAGCTATGTGTCAGTGGCAGAATGAAGGGAAACATACTGAGCAACTTCTGGAAGGTGAACCTCCAACAGTAACTCTGGTATCAGAACAGTTCAGTAATGCTAACGTTGATCAGTCACCTCAAAATGATGATTACAGTGACACATATTGTGAGGAAAGTAGAGACAATCAACAGTTTTTTATACCTGTAAAGCTTGCAAATGCAAAGCAGACTACAGAAGATGAGCAGGCCAGAGAAGCCAGAAGCCTTCAGAGGTGCGGAAAGTCTTGCCACCTTGTGGAGGACTGTGCAGGTTGTCAACAGGGAGAGAGAGATGTAGTGCCAGAGAGTCCCTTGTCAGACATTGGCTCAGAGGATGTCAGTACTGGACTGAAAAACGCCAACAAATTGAGTAGGCAGGAAAGTAACCTAGGGAATTCTCCTCCATTTGAGAAAGAAAGTGAACTCGAGTCACCAATGGATGTAGATAATTCCAAAAATAGTTGTCAGGACTCGGAAGCAGATGAAGAAACGAGTCCAGGATTTGATGAACAAGAAGATAGCAGTTCCACCCAAAGAGCAAATAAACCTTCAAAGTTCCAAGCCAAAGAAGCTGACTCTGAATTGAAGAAACAGTCATCCGCTAAGGGAGGTGAAATTCGATTACATTTCCAGTTTGAAGGAGAGAGTTGTGCTGGAATGAATGATTTAAGTGCCAGACTACCTGGAAGCACTTCTAGCATGAATGTAGAATGCAGAAATTCCAAGCAACATGGGAAAAAGGGTTCTAAAATCACAGATCATTTCATGAGAATGCCCAAAGCAGAGGACAAAAGGTAATTTTTTCCATCAGGAGTATCTCCAATAGTGTAATGCATTTTGTAATTTTTAAGGGGGGTTTAGCAAAGATACAATTTACACTGAAGCAGAGAAACAGTTGTGTTTTTTGCTATCTGTTTATGCTAAATTTGAACTTACACTCCAAATTTAAATTCTAAAAAGGCCAGAAACAGAAAAGAAGATGTAAATAAATATTGTTAATCAGTTTTTTAGCTTAATGAACTTCCTTCTGAAGTTAATGTGAATTATCAAGACATAAAAATATTTTATTGATAGTAGCTACTGTTTATTTAGCTGTTCCCTAGGCCATTGTAAAATGCAGTTTCTCTAATGCTCTGATAGGCATGCAGGTGGTATTGTACTCACTTAAACAATGAGAAAACTGAGACTTGGGTTAGAGAATTCACTGAAATTATGTAATTTGTGGGTCTTAACACTGAGTTTTAAATCCCAGGCTAATTACCAAAAAATATATTGAAAGTTACGTTTTTGCAAATATTCCTTATAGAATCTTAAAGCCCACTCTATTTATTTCTGTGATTTATTTTTCCTATCAAAGTTCACTTCATGGAAGATTCCTGGCAGTGTCCATATTCTTACATGGTCCTTTCTTCAGAAAGTGATTTATTTGTGTTTGGAAATTTCTTGTACCAACTATTGCAAACTGAACTCTTGAGTTTTACTATAAGCTTTATAAGTTTTTTTTTTTTTCTTTCTTTTTAATTACCAAAGAGAAAGACAAACTTGGCACATTTAAAACAATAACAGTCTAGGTAGGATTTGTATTGTGTAACTAAGTGAATTTAAATAGTAAGTAGTTTGTGACTGAATACATTTGTTTTGACCTTAGAAAAGAACAATGTGAAATCAAACATCAAAAGACAGACAGGAGGATCCCTAAATACGTTCCGCCTCACCTTTCTCCAGATAAGAAATGGCTTGGAACTCCCATTGAGGAGATGCGAAGAATGCCTAAGTGTGGGACCCAACTGCCTCTCCTGCGACCATCTGCCAATCACACAGTAACTGTCCGGGTAGGTTGTTACCACTCTCCTATAGAGAGAGAAGACTCTAAGTCTTGATCTTGTGATACGTATTCATGTGTAAAACATGTGTCATTTAAGTCCTCTGTCTCCTTGTTTATTTTTTTGTCTGAAAGATCTAGCCAGTGAGATTTTAAAGTCCCCTACTAAGACTGTATTGCTGTTGATCTCTCCCTTAAAGTCCATCAAGAGTTTTTATATATTTTGGTGCTCAAGTATTGGGTGTATATATGTGTACAAAGATTATATTTTCTTGTTGAATCATTCTCTTTAGCATTTTGTAGTGGCCTATTTTGTCTCTTGTTATGGTCTTTGTTTTGAAGTCTATTTTGTGCCCTTGACTGGGAATTGAACCTGTCATCCTTTGGTGCTAGGGCTGATGTTCTAACCACTTAATAACACTGGCCAGGGCAAAACTTTTGTGTTTTAAAATATCTCCTTCCTTGTCCTAACTGGTTTGGCTCAGTGGATAGAGTATCACTTGTGCACTGAAAAGTCCCAGATCAAGGGCATGTACACATCCCCAATAAGAGGTGTGCAGGAGGCAGCTGATTGATGTTCTCTCTAATCAGTGTTTCTAACTCTCTATCCTTCTCCCTTCCTCTCTGTAAAAAAATCAATTAAATATATATTTTTTAAAAATCTTCTTCCTCAAACATTTACTGAATGCTTATTATAATTAGCATAAGTGTATACAAATATAAATGTGTATATTTACATACTAGAGGCCCGATGCACGAATTCATGCATGGGTGGGGTCCGGCCAGCTTCCCCTGATTGGGGTGATTGGGCGGGTTGACCTGGGGGAGGGTCCACGAATGGTTGGCAGGCCAGCCTCGCCCCCTGGTCGAACTCCTGGTTGAGGGAACAATTTGCATATTATTAGCCTTTTATTATATAGGATATGTGTGTACATTATACATATAAAAATACATGCTTTATTCTTCAGTAAATATTCAGAATACAAAGTTAAGATGATTATTATTCTCAAGAAGATTAGAGTCTAGCGGGGGAAGGAAAAACCAGTGTGCTTTACTATAATAATGACCTAATAAAACAAGAAGGAGTAAACGAAACACCGTTTAAAAGTTTTTGAAGACTGCCAAAACCGGTTTGGCTCAGTGGTAGGGCGTCGGTCTGCGGATTGAAAGGTCCCAGGTTCGATTCCAGTCAAGGGCATGTACGTTGGTTGCGGACACATCCCCAGTAGGGGGTGTGCAAGAGGCAGCTGGTCGGTGTTTCTCATCGACGTTTCTAGCTCTCTATCTCTCTCCCTTTCTCTCTGTAAAAATCAATAAAACATATTTAAAAAATTTTGAAGACTTCTTAGAAGAAATGAAAAGTGGGTTGAGTGTTAAAGGTCAGAATAAATGTTTAACCAGATAGTGTTTGGATAAGACAAGATGTTAAAAATTGGGAATATCATTTGGATCAGAGTATAAGCAGAGAGGAGTCATCATAAGATTAGAAGCCTGAAGCCTGGCTGATGTGGCTCAGCAGTTGATCATCTATCTATGAACCAGGAGGTCACACTTTGATTCTCGGTCAGGGCACATGCCTGGGTTATCCCCATTAGGAGGTGTGCAGGAGGCAGCCAATCAGTGATTCTCTCTCATTATGATGCTCTCCCTCTCTTCCTCTCTGAAATCAATAAAACTGCATTCAATTAATAAAAAAAGAGACCTGGGAATAGTTGAGAAAGATAATGACATTCTCAAATGAGCATGAAATGTGAAAGAAGGATGAATGTTCTGGGAACAGTTGGAGTGAGGGAAAGTGACAGAAGGCTGTTGGCAGAAATTCAGGCAAGGAATAATGAGGATTAGAGGCCTAGATGGGACGGAGATAGATGGATAGATGTCCAGCTGATTAAATGAGGTAAAGAGTAGAAACTGCTAAGCAGCTTAAGGAGGTTTCTTCCCCAGGAGCTAGTCTGTATTTTATAACATTTGCTTTGGCTGCTCTATTTGACTTCTTTTGTGGATGATACACCTAATTTTATATATTTACAGTTTTGTTGTTATTCTCTCTTTCAGGTAGATCTTTTGCGGGCAGGAGAAGTTCCTAAACCTTTTCCAACACATTTTAAAGATTTGTGGGACAATAAGCATGTAAAGATGCCTTGTTCAGAACAAAACTTGTACCCTGTGGAAGATGAGGTAAAAACAAAGCTGATATTCCTTTAGTCTTTGGTAGTTTAATACATTCTTGCTTGACTCTTGCTTCTATGATACAAAATAACTTAGAGTAGTTGTCTTACTTGTTTTTTCTTTTCCTCAAAGAATGGTGAGCGAACTGCAGGGAGCAGGTGGGAGCTCATTCAGACTGCACTTCTCAACAAGTTCACACGGCCCCAAAACCTGAAGGTATGTTCTTTTCGCTATTCTTGCCTCTTACATGCAGTTCGTAGAGATGGCCCTTGTGCCTCCTCCCTCAAAGACATTTTTTATTTTTTATGTACTCAGGTAACAGCATTATTTACATGCAAGGTGCTTTCTTCCTGAGGAACTCTTATTTAGAGACATTCTTGGTTTCTATTCCAAAGCTAAGAAATGAGTAGAAATATTAAGAGTTGTAAATTACTTGCCTGGAGCCACACAGAGTAATTTGGAGAACCAGGAATTGGAACTGTTTCTTGATTCCCCATCCAATTTCCTTCCTTTTGAGCTTCTCTTTTATTTTGTTTTAGAATTGTCGTGTTTCTGAAATGTCTTCAAAAGTAAATGAGGAAAGAATTATGACTTCAGCAGTATTTGCCCAAAGGGAAGCAAAGTTTCCTAATGATTGAAGTATTCATTAAGCATTCTGTTTTTTATTGCTTTTAATATAGCTTTTAGCAGTTTAAAAATTTATTAATCTAATATTTCAGCAATAATTTATTTTTTAAAATATTTCATTTAAGACTGTAGGGGCATTCACTAGATCACTTTTCTAATAGCTACTGGTAAAATGTTGGCGAGCATATGTTTATTTGTAAACGTTGAAGTTTTATAATTATAAACAGTAAGACATTTCTATACTTCCATGAAAATGGGTTTCTTTTTTTGGGGGTATTTCATTTTCTTTGAGAGACTTAATTTATTGTGACAGTTTCTCAGGTTTTATACTGTTTTCCTTTTATACTTACAAGTTGTTCTTAAGTTTTCTATATCTTTCTATAACTCCTGTGTTGTTGTTTTTTATACGTTGTGCCATAATGTATTTTGAAAATTTTAGTTCTTAAGGACAGTGGTTTTCAGTTTTGTAATACACTCCTTTTAAATGGAAGAATTTCTCCAGGTCTACCAGAGTTTACTTATTTTTAGTATAATGTTACATATGTACAAACAAAAAACTAGATATAAATTCTTTACACAGGTAGTGTAGATCTATATCAATTTGATTTTTTTTCCATTTGAAGTATTATTAAAAATCAGTTTTGTTCATTTCCTAGTAAAAACAATTTGTAGTCAGTATTTCCTTCTTGTACAAAAGATTTTTGTTTTTGTTTTTTTAGTAACACATTACAGCTTTATTAGATTTCTCCCATTTTATTGGCTATTTGGGCTCAACTAAGGCCTTAGTAACCTAAACTTTATCTTCAAGGTGTCACAGTACATAACATGAAATCTGATTAGTGGCACAAGATTAGTCAACCTGTCAACACAAGCAGTCATCATCATCACAGATGTAGCAACTTCCTGCTTTATAATGATTCTATCACCCATGTAAAGTTATTGCTGCTATTGTGCAAGTTTTTATTCAAGAAAGCTTCCCAGACCAGGACTAATTAGTGACAGATACCAGCTGATGCCATTTTGCAGATTAAGCCAAAACTCTGCCTTATATTTAGAATAAGAAGGTAGCAAGATTATGAAAAATTATTTTTTCTTTTGGGTCCCTAATCCTACACTGCCACACATATTCTCTCCTCAGTGTGTCCCATTATTCAATCACCTAATATCCTGACATGACCCACGGATACTCTCCAAGTAAGAGTGGTATTTAGGGTTTTGTTCAGAGCAGGGAAGAGGGTAGATCAGTGCTCGGCAGACTCGTTAGTCAACAGAACCAAATATCAACAGTATAAGGATTGAAATTTCTTTTGAGAGCCGAAAACTGACTTCTGCACATGGGGCACGAAGTTTCAGTTGCACTGAATGTGCCCCCCCGCATCTGGTGTTTTGTGGAAGAGCCACCGTGGAGGGGCCCACGAGGCATGTGGCTCATGAGCCGCATTTTGCTGACCACTGGGGTAGATGGTGGGTGAATGAACAATATGACAAAAGGGGGCAAAAAGGAAACCTGAAACCTTCTCATTTAATAAAATGTTCTTCATGACATGTCTCAGGGTATAAAGAGAGTTTGGTATAAAGAAGTTTACTCTGATGATTCAAGACTTGTGTGACCGAGTAAGGCAGTTTCTTGAACTATCCGCACCCCCTTATTTCCCTAAAAATCTGTGGGACAATCAGGGAGGAAGCATATACCTTCCTTTCCAAATGGGGACCATGTGACTCCACCCAGAAGGTAATTTTACCGTCCTGGCTTCTGGAGCAGCAGCCTTCGTCAGCCATTTGCAATTGGCAATTACAGTTGCACACTTTGGAATCTGTCAGGCTTCTGAGTCCTTTTGTTGCTGTTAATCCTTACCTGAGGATATTTTTCATTGATTTTGATTTTGATTTTTTAAAATATATTATATTGGTTTTTTACAGAGAGGAAGGGAGAGGGATAGAGTCAGAAACATGGATGAGTGAGAAACATTGATCAGCTGCCTCCTGCACACCTCCTACTGGGGATGTGTCCACAACCAAGTCATGCCTTGATTGGAATTGAACCTGGGACCTTTCAGTCCTCAGGCTGTTGCTCTATCCACTGAGCCAAACTTCTTAGGGTTTTTCATTGATTTTTAGAGAGCGTGGAAGGGAGGAGGAGAGACAGTGAGAAACATTGATATGAGAAGAACAATTGATTGGTTTCCTCCCGCATATGCCCCTGACTGGGGTCGGAATCGAACCCGGGACCCTACAGTCTGCAGGCCGATGCTCTATCCAGTGAGCCAAACCAGCTAGGGCAGGTTTCTGAGTCTTGGTCTCTGAAGACTATTTTAGTACACTTCTACTTCATTAAGGGTCATTGGAGTCTACCGTTTGATAACAGCCATTGGTCTCCATTTAATGTCCTCCTTACTGATTACAGCATCTTGGCAGGTGTTCACTGCATCCGTCACATTCTTATAGGACTTAGGAGACTCTTCCATAACCAGTTTGGTGAGGCAACACGAATTGCAATTTCATATCTGTCAATTTGTCTAACATTCTGGAAATCTAAATCATGTCAAGATTTTGCTGGGGACAGTGCACAGCCCGCTCCATGACAGGTTGTTCCAAAGGTCTCGGTCATGCCTGTTCCGTGCCAATAAGAACATAACTTTGGGTTCCCATGGTGCCACCGAGCACTGGTTATCCAGTGAGTTGATAATCAACAGCAGTGAGGGGATGGTGATGAAGGAAACCTTTATGAAGGGATGGTGATGAAGGGTCGCTTTATGTGAACTAACAAGGTCCATTGTTTTCCGTCCACCGCATGCTATTCGATTTTGGTGATACTGTGAGAGACATCATAGATCACATGTAGGTCCCAGTCATCAGGGGTTTACTGAAGACCTTAGCAAAAGCCTGACAGGTTAAAGGCCTAGTTTCCTGCCGCTGCCATTTCCTTCAGGTAGTCCTGACCTTCTGGAGAAACTATTTGATTGTATGCCAACAGATGATCATTGACTATAATCTTGTCCCTCTTCCTAGCTTTCCCATACCAACCAGGGCATCTGGGGCTACTGGGTGACCCACACCTCTGCTTTCACTGTGGATCATCTCACACACCCATCCACATGGTCAATGCCCATCTTCGTAGCAGCATACTCATTGAAAATCTCACCTACAGCCTGGATTTCTGCTTAGTGGTTACCTGTTCCTGGGGTCACAACTGAGGAAGCCCTATATTTTTAGCTCTTGCAGAGACTTTATTGAGGTCAGCTTGTAGCATTCTCACAGTGCTCCTCACAGTGCTCCTTGTCTTCAGCCCAGGCATAGTCTTCTCTTAGTGATCAGTCCATATCCACCTCCAAGGCCTCTTCCAAGTCTTTAGCATCCATTGGGATGATACCTTTGGGCCCCACCCTATGGAATTTTGTCAGACATAGCTTGTGCAAGTTGCTCCTTCACAGGTGGGACTTCACTTTCATCTATTATACATTGGTTCTTAGCAAGTGGACACTGCAGTTAATGTAAAATCCGATGTCACCTGGGGCACCACTGCTTCAGGGTCATTCATATCAAAGGCTGCCATAGTCACATTAGCAAATCCATAACCTGCGACAGGCATTTTCTTAATCCCTCTTTATTTTATTTATTTATTTATTTATTTATTTATTTATTTATTTATTTATTTATTTATTTAAATATATTTTTTTATTGATTTTATACAGAGAGGAAGGGAGAGAGATAGAGAGTTAGAAACATCGATGACAGTCATCGATCAGCTGCCTCTTGCACACCCCCCACTGGGGATATGCCCGCAACCAAGGTACATGCCCTTGACCGGAATCGAACCCGGGACCCTTCAGTCCCCAAGCCGACGCTCTATCCATTGAGCCAAACCGGTCCCGGCATCCCTCTTTATTTTGCTTTTTGTATTTTTGTTGTTGTTGTTTTGTTACTCTTCACCTGAGGATATTTTTCCCATTGATTTTTAGAGAGAGTAGAAGGGAGGGAGGAAAGGGGAGGAAGAAAGGGGGGGGGGTAGGAGGAAAGAGAAAGAAAGGGGGAAAGGGGGAGAAAGGAAGGGAGAGAGAAACATTGATGTGAAAGAAACACATCAATTAATTGCCTCCTGCATGCACCCTACCAGGGAAAGGTATGTAACCTGCAACCAAGGTATGTGCCCTTGATTGGGAATCGAACCCCAGATCATTCGGTGTATAGGTGTACAAGCCAACACTAACCACTAAGCAACACTAGTCCGAGCTTTATTGATTTTTTTCTAAGAACTGCAGCTGATCATTAGAGTTGTGGCTCATAGCAGTCACCAGGTTAGCAACTCCTGGCTCCCTTTTAAAGAGAGTGGCTATGCTGTCCCATTGCCTAAAGTGCCACCTTCTGCACATACGTACGTTTTTTAACCACTGATAGAAACTTAAAAAAATACTGTATAAAGAAAAAGTTCTCATTTTGTATTGCTACTTTTCTTACTAAACATGGTGAGTGTCAATAGATGCAAAGATGGGATCTGTATGCAGAACATTAACTTGCAAACACCAGGTGTACCGATTACTAATGTGAAATTTTTTCAATAGATGGAGTTACACATATGTTGATACATATGTGATTTGATATGTATCCTGTTTTGTTGTATTGACAGCAAGCTTTAAAACTTCATATGTCAAATTTGCTGAAGGTGTTAACATCATAGATATTTTTATGCTTAAAAATGTCCAATTTTGTGCCAAAAAAAGAGTATTTGAGGGAAGTTTTAATCATTTATTTTGAAGAAAACATTATTGTATACTTAGGGAAGCTTATGGTGAACATGCTCCATCTCAAGATACTTCTGAATGCTGCTTTAATGCTTTAAAAGTGATGATTTCGATGTGAAAGACAAAGGCATCCAGGTAAATCGAAAAAGTTTGAAGACCAACAATTACAAGCATTATTGGGTGAAGATGCTTGTCAAACTCAAAAACAGCTTGCAAAAAGATTAAATGTTGCTCAGCAAACAATTTATGATCATTTACAAGCAATGGGAAAGATTTGAAAGGAAGAAAAATGGGTGCCATCAACTAAATGAAAGACAAATGGAAAACTGAAAAGTCAATAAAATGTTAAATCAACGTCACAAAAGAAAGTCTTTTTTGCATTGAATTGTGACTGGCAATGAAAAGTGGATTTTATTTTGAGAATCCCAAATGCACAAAATCATGGGTTGATCCAGGCCAACCATTGACATTGACTGTAAGGCCAAATCACTTTGGAAAAAAGACAATGCTCTTCATTTGGTGGGATCAGGAATGTGTGGTGTATTATGAACTTCTAAAATCAGGTGAAACCATTAATACTGATCACTATCGACAACAAATAATCAATTTAAATCACGCTTTGATTGTGAAACCACCTGAATGTGCCAGAAGACATGGCAAAGTAATTTAGCTTCATGATAACGTACCATCACACACTTTAGTATAAAGAACTGCCTATTCTGACAGTTAAATATTAAAACAAAATCCATAGTGTTTTAAATTACATTGTCCACTCACTTGAACCAGTTAAAGACATGTTAAAAGATCTTGCCTGGGAAGTATTAACCCACTCACTTATATTCATCGGACCTTGCTCCTTCAGATTACCACTTGTTCTGATTGATGGCACACGTACTTTCTGAACAGCACTTCAAAACATACGGAGAAGTTAAAAATTGGATCTCTGAATGGCTGGCCTCAAAACAAGAAAAGTTCTATTGGGGTTTTTATATCCGGGTCTAGTAATAATGTCGTTTTAACATTCGTTTAAAATCTTACTTGGCGTTGATTTGTATTGACATAACCTTCAAACACATGGTATCTACAGAACGTGTGAAGTGCAATTAACAAGTTTTGCTTGAAAAAGTTTGTGTTTGGTTTGGTTTTGGTTGCAAAACTAGGGCTAAGAAGATGGCGGACGAAGAGCATATTCAGCACTGCATGCTTTACGAGTTCCAATTAGGAAGAAAAGCAAGTGAGGCTGCAAAAAACATCTGTAGTGCTCTTGGTCAAGATGCAGTTAGCGCCAGAAAATGCCAGCGTTGGTTTGAGGAATTTCACGAGGGAAATTTTTCGTTAGATGACAAGAGTGGTCGAGGCCGTGTGTCCAATTTTGATCAAGAAGCTCTTCAAGCTCTTTTGGTGCAAAATCCTCAAATTACCCAACAAGAGCTTGCGACAACTTTAAATTGTTCACAAAAAACAATTTCCAATCAATTGCGTGCACTTGGCAAAGTCCAAAAGTTTGGAAAATGGGTTCCTCATGAGTTGACCGACAACAACCGTAATCAAAGAGTCACAATTTGCAGTTCGCTCCTCTCTCGTCAAAACCGTTTGCCGTTTTTAGAGCAAATGGTTACCGGAGATGAAAAATGGGTGCTGGATGTTAATTTGAAAAGGCGGCCTCACTGGTTGGACAAAAATGAGGCTCCGCAGCCCACGCCAAAACCTGACTTGCATGTGAAAAAAGTGATGTTGTGTGTTTGGTGGAATTTTAAAGGAATTCTTCATTATGAACTTTTACCATCTAACCAAACCATTACAAGTGCAGTGTATAGTGCCCAATTGGAAAGGTTAGCCCAAGCTTTAAGAGAAAAAGAACCCGCGCTGATTAATCGGAAGGGCGTAATTCTTCACCACAAAACGCACGACCGCATACTGCAAGAATCACTGCTGAAAAACTGCGCCAGTTGGAATGGGAAGTTCTCCCTCAACTTGCATATTCTGCTGATATTGCCCCTTCCGATTACCATTTGTTTCGTTCTTTGCAAAACTTTCTTCTTGGAAAAAAATTTAATAATGAAGAATGCCTCAAAAATGCATTGACCGAATTTTTTGCATCAAAATCACAAGAATTTTACAACAGAGGGATTAAAATGCTTCCTGAGCATTGGGCACAAGTAGTAGAAAACAACGGCAACTATATTGTTGATTAAATTTTGTTGTATTGTTTAAATAAATTCGATTTAAAAAAGTATTAGACAACGACATTAATTATTACTAGGCCTAATACTTTTGTTGGCTCAGTTTTTAACCTAGACTGATGCTTGGTGATTATTTCTATGAATGAAGTAATTTTTAGGAACTCTTTGGCAGAGTTAATTTTTAAAAACTTCTTTAATGATGAAGAAATTTGGAAGATTTATAGTAATGATCTGTGTTTTTCAGATTTACCTACATTTACAGTAAAAAAAAATTGGGGGGTATCTATTATAAGTATTAACAGTTATTTATAAATATTACATATTTATTACTTTATTGAGATATGCACATCATAAAATATAATCAAAATAGAAATTTAAAAGGATGAAATAAAACATAATTGTAAATAACAGTTCTTTCTGCAAAACTAATGGATTATTTTATGCATTACCCACTCTGGTGCTAAAAAAACAAAATTTTCCTGAGTACATTTTAAAGATCTTAACAGCTTTTTTCAACGATTCATGCATTTGGGCAACAAATAGAAAGGAGCTCCGAGGAGCTGTGCAAAATAAAGACTTATAAAAAAGAAGGGAGCGGGAACAAGGAAGTTATAGTAGCAAAATGGATTGACTGTTGCAAAGTCACTTTCCTTCAGGGAATGGCAAGGGTCTATCAGGCAGATTACCTCATTGGTGTCAACTAGGTGATTCCTGATTGATGGTTTAAGATTCTCTTTATGGGAGAGCTAAAACTGTAATTAAGTTTGGTTTAGTGATATGGGTTCAGCATGTGTCTCTGTTTTGGGCCTATTATCTTATTTTTAATACTACTAATCCATTATAAAGTACTGCCTATTCCGACAGTTAAATGTTATACCAGTAGATGGTGAACTATTTTAACTTTTCATTCTACATAAATCCTTAGTTCGTGTGAACTGCTGGGGGAAGATAACTATTAATTTGTAGCTTATAAAAATAGTGGAAATAAAGGAAAAATACCATTTTGTGCATTGAGGCAGTGTCTCTCAATTATTATTATTTTTACCATTGCCATTTCAATCAGGGATCCTTTTCACGTATTTGTTTCCTAATTTACTGTCCCCATGACATTTAAAAAGTATTTTTTTAAATTGAATTCAGAGAGGAAGGGAAAGGGAGAGAGAGAGAGGAATATCAATAATGAGAGAGAATCACTGATTGGCTTTCACCTGCACACCCCGTACTAGGGATGGAGCCTGCAACCTGAGCATGTGCCCCAACTGGGAATCAACTGTGACCTCTTGGTTCATAAGTCTACACTCAACCACTGAACCACACAGACTGGGCTAAAATTTTAATACTGTAAATATACTGTATATCTGTATGCATAGTGTGACCCTTTTAATGGCCAGGAATCATAATTTTTAATTTTTAATCCTCAAGATCTAATTTTTGTCTACTTAATTTGTATTAATTATCTCTATTTAGAAGGCATGTTTTAGAATAATTGTTTTTCCCTTATTACTTGACCTATCTAACTCATATTTCTTAAGTAAATAATAAATTAGTATGCATTTTGTTGGTTCATAGTCACTTATGTGGAACAGTTAATGGTAGGAGGAAGTTTGTCTAGCATTAAGAATTTTACTGCAAGTAATTCATTAAGGAGACAGTCTATTCATAGATAATTCACTTGACTCTATCATGAGGTTTTCTTTATACTTTTTCCATAGGATGCTATTCTGAAATACAATGTGGCATATTCTAAGAAATGGGACTTTACAGCTTTGGTTGATTTCTGGGATAAGGTAAGAGTATGCTTATTTCTTTAACTATGAAAATAATATGACAAATATAAAAAGTTTAAGAAGAATATCTAATTCTGTCACACTAACCCAATTATCTTTTATTTTTGTAAAAAATATTTCCTGTTATTTTATATGCATTTATGGGAACTAATTTTGAATTTTGTTTTATTCTTTTTCTTTTAAAATTGTATACCATTATCAACATTATCAGTGGCTGCATATTTCATAAGTAGTTTTTGAGAATTTAACGATTACCATATTCTTAGACATCTAGGTTGCATCTAGTTTATGTACATACACACACGCACATACATATATATAGTTATGCACCACTTACCAAATGGGATACATTCTGAGAAATGAGACCTTAGGTGATTTTGTTGTCATATGAACATGATAGATGTTTTATACTTACACAAACCTAGATCATATAGCCTTCTATACATCTAGGCTATATCTTGTAGCCTGTTGTATAATTTGTTTAATGATAGTCACATTTCAGGATATTTGGGTTGTTTCCAGTTGTGGGTTATTACAACAAATCTACCATGAACTGTTGTGTGCAGGTTTTTACACGAACATACATTTTTATTTCTTTGAGGTAAATGCCCAAGAGTGTGATTGTCAAATTGATAAGTCTATTTTCAGTTTTAAAAGAAACTGCCAGTATACTTTTGCTAGATAAGCCTTCCAAAGAAAGATACTTTATATACAAGTTTAAAAAAAATTTTAAATATTTTTTCTCACATTCATTCATATTATGTATGTTTCATTTACAAATTATAGAAATAGTAATTTTAGAAATGGAAATATTTTGAATTGAAGTATTTTCAATATTAAATACTTTGATTTACCTAATAGAGAATAATTATTGAACTTTAAATAGCTCCTATATTTTCATACTAGAGGCCCGATGCACAGATTCATGCACCAGTGGGGACCCTTGCAGGGATTGGGCTGAAACTGGCAATCCAACGCCACCTGCTGCTCCTGCCTGCTGCTCCCACTCATCCTGGCCACGCTGTGCTTGCCCCAGACTCATGCCCAGTCAGTTCCGTTTGGGAGAGGCTCACACCACTGCAGCAGCGCTCGCCAGCCATGAGCCTGGTGTCTAGCGCATAGCGGTTAGCTGAGCAGCATTCTCACTGTGGGAGTGCACTGACTACCTGGGGACAGCTCCCTTGTTGAGCATCTGCCCTCTGGTGGCCAGTGTGCATCATAGCGACTGGTCAGTTGGTCATTCGCTTAGGCTTTTATATTTATAGATTGGAGCTGTTCCCTCTGTAGCCCTTTTTTCAGATAAATTACTATGAGCTAGAATAATATTGTTATTATTTCTATTGTAAATAAATGTTTGTGATTTAGAGATGGACTTTCTTGGTCAGAGTGACATAGTTGCCCCTGGCAGAGCAATGTATCCAAATCAGTGTTCTTTCTACTGTTGCCTGCAATTAGAGTATATTGTTTTTTGGCACACACTCTCTCCTCCTACTTGCTGCCTTATTTTCTATGCAATAACAGACATGTTCCTTCCTTCCACTTTTCAATGCTTTACATATACCAAGTGCTTGTAAGTAGTTATGGACTAGATTTCAAAGGCGATCAACTAGTCATATTGGTTTTCATAGTTACTAAGGTCCAGAGAATATTATCTAAAAGCAACAGTGCAAGTTAACAAAACTTCTTTTTTTTTTTTTTTTTAACAAAACTTCTTACGTTTCTGATTCCTGCCCCCACTCCCTGTTCATGCTACAAAACACACCTAAGTATAACATACTTTTTTTCTCTAAGCATTTTAGCTAGTGACGTTATAGTGTTCTTGTCAGTTCATTTACTCTGTCATTACTGTACCTGACTTGTTTGTTCTCTGGACTGCTCATGGTAATCCAAAAGAAAGTGTTTGGTTAATTATGTGATCAGGAAGCAGACATTAAGGTTGTTATGAACCTTTATAGTTATTTCCTGTTAATTCAGAAGAGCCTGAACATATGAAAATGCGTCTACAAAAGTATAAATAATACCACCACTCACTTTTTCCCAGAAATGTTTTGATTATCTCTCAGTATATTTGTGAGGCAATGTGATGCACAGTTGTGGCCCTTAGATTTATTGTGTATCTGAATCCTGTAGAGGGCAGTTGAAACACAGTTTGCTGATCACCACCCTCTTGAGTTTCTGATTTTGTAGGTTTCAGGTAGGATCTGAGATTTTGCATTTCTTTTATTTTTTTTATTTTTTTTATTTTTGGGGGTGACATTAGTTAAAATTGCATAGCATATATTGCATTGTGTGTTCACCACCCAAAGTCAAATCTTCTTTCATCACCATATATTTTACTTCCTTTACCCATTAGCCCCCTTTCGCTTGGGTAACCACCATATTGTTCTCTGTGTCTATGAGTTTTTGTTTGTTTGTCTTGTTCATTTGTTGCTTTCAGTTTTATATACCACATATGAGTGAAACCACATAGTTCTTGATGTGTTCCATCTTAACTCACTTAACATGATATTCTCAAGATCCAACCATGTTGTTGTAAATTGCAGTATTGTATCTTATTGCTGAGTTGTATTTCATTATATACTAGAGGCCCGGTGCACAAAATTCGTGCACTTGGGGGGTGGGGGTGGGTCTCGCAGTCCAGACTGCACTCTCTCGCAGTCTGGGAGCCATTAGTCGGATGTTCTTAGTGCTGCCATGGAGGCGGGAGAGGCTCCCACCACTGCTGCTGTGCTCGCCAGCCATGAGCCCGGTTTCTGGCTGAGCTGTGCTCCCCCTGCGGGAGCACACTGACCACGAGGGGACAGCTTCTGCTTTGAATGTCTGCCCTCTGGTGGTCAGTGCGTGTCATAGCGACCTGCCGTTCTGCTGTTTGGCCAATTTGCATATTAGCCTTTTATTATATAGAATAATGTCTTATGGGCAAGGCTGCTAATTCAAAAAAAAAATTTTTTTAGATAGTTAAAGGGAGGGGCAGAATTTTCACTTGAGCCTGAAGCTAAAATTGCCCTTTGCTCAAAAATCTGCATACCTCTGAGACACATCTTGGTGAGGCTCATTCTGGATCCCCACACTGTTCTATTATGTGAATAAGTATTGGGAACCATCTTATCTCTTTAGTGAAAGGAACCTTTTGTTATGTTAAAATGAATAACTTTATCTCATGAGTTTGTTTTGGCTTCAAGCCTGTATCCAGTATTCATGCAGCAACTTCATCTCTTCTGTTCAATATTTACCTGGCATATCTTTTATTTTATTTTCTCTAAATCTTTCTAGATTTTTATATATTAAATAGGAATAGCCCATGGACTCAGAAAATAGTCTGGTTATTGATTTCTTTTTGCAGTTGATTTCCAATTTCAAAGCATTGTGGTCAGTGAATACGTTTGGTATGATTTCAACCTTCTTAAATTTATTGAGGTTAGTTTTGTGTTCCAATATATGGTCTGTCCTTTAGAACAGTGTTTCCCAAACTTTTGACATATGTGTACCCCTTCTATAATTTTGTAACACTGAGTACCCCTTGTACTCATGAGAACGGAGAATTAGGCGCAGCTAAGCACACATCCCCACCAAACTCTGGTGCAACGCGTTCCCCCACCAAACTTTTCCCGTACCCCTGGGGTTTGTGTACCACACTTTGGGAAATACTGCTTTAGAATATTTCATATGCACTGGAGAGGAATGTATAATCTGATGTCCTAGGATGAAAAGTTCTGTAAATGTCAGTTATGTCCTTTTGAGCTAATGTATAAGTTAAAACCAATATTTTTAAAATTGATTTTATGTTTGGATACACTATGTAAGGCTGTCAGTGGGGTGGTTAGGTCTACTACTCTGATTGTTTGTTTTTTTATCAGTTTCTCTCTTTAGTTGCTTTATATATTTTAGTGCTCCCTAATTATGTACATATACATTGAGTGGCCATAGTCATGTCCCCATCATTTACCTTCTCTTTCACTTATCCTCACTCCTCCCAAGCCCTAGCAGGCCACTTCCATATGCCAGCAAATGCTTCACCCCCTAGTGACTGTGTCCATTGGTCATGCTTATATGCATGCATATAAAAGAGTATTATGCTAAGCAAATGCTTCACCCCCTAGTGACTGTGTCCATTCGTCATGTTTATATGCATGCATATAAATCCTTTGGTTGATTTCTTACCCTCACGCCCCAATGGTAACAGATGGCAACAGCATGGATGAATCTTATTTTGCTAAGCAAAATAAGCCAATTGGAGAAAGATAAATACCACATGATCTCACTCATTTGTGGAATATAGTGAACAACATAAACCGATGAAGAAAAACAGATCCAGACAAAGATCCAGAGACAGAGAAGCATTCTGGATCTATTCTGGATCTGTTTTTCTTTATCAGTTTATGTTGCCTAATGCTCTCTAGACCCATTCATGCTGTTACCATACTGTTGCAAATGGTAAGAGTTCCTTCTTTTTCACAACAGCATAGTATTCCATTGTGTAGATGTACCACAGTTTTTTAACCCATTTGTCTGCTAATGGGCACTTAGGCTGTTTCCAAATCTTACTCTCTGCCATTTTATTGGTAAATTCAATTCACTTACATTCAGGGTGATTATTGATATACTAGAGGCCCGGTGCATGAAATTTGTACATGGGTAGGGTCCCTAGGCCTGGCCAGCAATTAGGGCTGATGAGGCCTTCCGGCTGTAGGCTGGGGCTTTTCTTAGTTTGGCAATGCTCCCTGTGGTCAGTATATGCCATAGCACGATTTCAAACTCCTGAGGTGACAATTTGCATATTAGCCTTTTATATTTATAGACTAGAGTCCTGGTGCATGAAATTCGTTCATGGGGGTGTGTGTCCCTTAGCCTAGCTTGCACCCTCTCCAATCTAGGATCTCTCTCACAATCCAGGACTGCTGGCTCCACACTGCTCACCTGCCTGCCTTCCTGTTTGCCCCTAACCACTTCTGCCTACTAGCTTGATCACCCCCTAACCACTCCCATGCCAGCCTGTTTGC